ACCGCATCCCAAAACCAGTCCAGCTCGTCCCTGCCTCCCTAACCTGTTCTTCCTCCCACCTATCCCCTCCTCCCACCTCAAGCCGCACCTCCATCTCCTACCGACCAACCTCATCCCGCCCCCTTGACCTGTCCGTCCTCCCTGGACTGACCTATCCCCTTCCTAACTCCCTACCTACACTCACCTTTCCTGGCTCCATCCCCGCCTCTTCGACCTGTTTGTTTCTTCTCCACCTATCCTCTCCTCAATCCCTCTTCTATCCGCCTCCCACTCTCTCCCTATTTATTTCAAAACCCCCTTCCCCTCCCCCTTTTCTGATGAAGGGTCTAGGCCCGAAACGTCAGCCTCTCTGCTCCTATGATGCTGCTTGGCCTGCTGTGTTCATCCAGCCTTGCACCTTGTTGTCTCGAACTGTTTCTAGTACTTGCTTTAATTTCCCCTGGGTGTTGGTGACACTGATGTGGCTGTTGCTTAGGAACACCTGAACATAAATCCAATGTACCTTTTGTTTGAACTGTAACAAAGTTTGAGCAACCAGCATTCCAACAGTGCTGCTGGGGTAGGGAATTCGATCTAGAATCTCAACAGTGGGGAAAGAGGCAATTTGGCCCATCGAGTTGTGCACCAACCCTCTGATGAACATCCTACACCATCCCTGAAACCCTCCATTTATCATGCCTAATCCACCCAACCTGCACATCTTTGGCTGGTGGGAGGAAACCGAAGCACTGGACGGAAACCCAGGCAGAACATGCAAACTCCACACAGACTGTCACCCAAGGCTGTAATCGAACCTGGGACCCTGATGGCATAAGGCTGTGGTGCTAGCCACTGAGCCACCATGCTGCCCAGTTGGTGTACAGAACTTTTGTGGTGTGTGTATGTAAGTCAGAGCTATCCTGGACTCGATCTGTGCACCATGTTTTTTTTTGTGTTTGCAGTCCTGCCACGTTTATATACGTAAAAATTCTTAAATCTTCTTTATGCGTGCCCTTCCTACAAAGAAATGCCACTGAGTTACCAGTTGTCAGAAGTACTTGGTTCTTGGGCATCTCTGGTTTATCTGGCATGACTTCTTGTACTGGCACTGGAAAATTCAGCAGAAATACCCAAACTCCAGGACCCCTCTCAAAGCTGCAGTTTTACATTGTTATTGTGTCCTTCAAAAGATTAACTTGCATCATACTTTCATTCATTAACTTACTTTTATTGAATCAGTTAATTCAAACTTTTACATTTTGGAATCAACTTTACAACAGTCAGATATTGACTAGCTGATGTGTCACAATCTCATATTTGAGACATCAAATGTCACAGCAAATATCTTTAGTTGCCCACAGAGTAAAGTGAGAGGAGATGATAGGCTAAGAGCCTGGTTTTGAAATTAGTTGATTTTGTTTTATTTTTTTCCTCCTCTTCCCTGACAATTTGAAAATTATGAAGTAAATGGAAAATGGCTGCATGTTGTTGCTCACTGTTGCTATGTGTTAATTTTCCTGTGTTGATGTTCCTTTTTTTTTATTTCAGTTCCAGCCACAAAGGTGAATGCCATGAGCAAACCTAACCTGGGACAATGCGTCAGCAAATATGATTTGCTTGTCTGGTTTGAGATCAGTGAACTGGAACCAACAGGAGAGTAAGTTGATAAATGAGTGGGTCCATTTTCTTTTACTGATCAATACATGGTACTGTCAGGAATGGCCCAATTTGCAGGGACTCATTTACACAATGTTGGTGAATATCATCTTGAGATTGAGTCTCATTAGTCCTGGTAAATTCTTGCAGACCTTTGCATACAAATTAAAACTGAAATGTTTTGAGTGGTTGAATCACTACAAAAATGTCTTCTACGAACTGTGTACACACAACTGGAAAGGGGGATGGAGACGACAAAACGGATAACTGAGTAGAGGATACTCTGATCAAGCGAGTCGTCACTTGAACCTAAAGGATAGAACAAAGTACATTTCAAATTATGAAAAGCTAAAAATGATCATGGTCCAAAGAGATTTGGGAGTCTGCATACATAGTATCATCAATTGATCCAGAAACTAATCAAAAAGCTCATGGGATTCTGGCCTTGACATCTAAAGAACTAGAATACAAGCTGTGGGTAGATGGGGCGCTGTAGTTCACCAGACCTGGAGTAACTGGATTCAATTATAGACAGTATTCCTTAGCAAGGAGGTACTGGCCTTGGTGGAATTGCAGGATAGCTTCACCTGCACTGATACTCGGACTCCAAGGATTAAATACACAAAGTAGTGTCTGTATTGCCTGAAATGTAGAAGGTTAATGGGTAATGGGATTAAATCGCGCAATATTAGGATGAATGAATGAGCTCGATAGAGAGGAGTTATTTCCACTGAATGGAGAGTCTAGGACTGGGGACATTGTTTAAAACTTAGACTCAAACATTTCAGGAGTGAAATTACCTTTTACACATAAGAGTGGTAGATGTTTGAAATTCTCTTCTGCAAATGACAATTGATACTCGTCAATTGTTGATTTTAGATCTGAAATTGAAAGGTTTCTGTCAGTCAAGGGTAATAAGGGATGTGGGACAAAAATGAGTATTATGGAGTTAGTTCACAGATCAGCTGTGGTCTGTTTGATTGACGGAACACACTCCATGTTAAATGTCCTCCTGTCCTTATGTTCCTATGATAAGGACTATGTGTTTGTTTTTAATCCTCCTAGTACATACTTTCTGCCTGAGAGAGCTTTTGGAGAAGCAAAGATCCACTTAAAAACTTATTACCAGATTATTTTCTGAACAAGATTTATTAGAGTCAAGAAAGAAAGGTTCAGTTGAATCTTTTCCTCATTTGTTCTGATTCCTGCAATGATGATGTCCTGTCTGTTCTGCAGGTACATCCCAGCAGTTGTGGACCATAGCGGAGGCCTGCCATGTCAGGGCACTTACCTGCTTCACCAGGTAACTATTTCAGATAAACTTACCGGTTTAATACTGTCCTTGGCAAATAATTTATAACTGATTAAGCGGACTGGCTTTGAAAATTATTACACACAGGTTCTAAATTTTCAAGTCTTGGTAACATTCAAACACATTTAATGAGCATGTTTTCAATTCTGATTTGAGACAGCTATAGTATTGAAATATCATTGTTACTTTGTATGTGTACATCCTTCAGTGATTATACAGGTGATCCCTAATTTAAGAACATCTGACCCACAAAGTACTTATAGTCCCATTTTACTACCAATTTTGAGGATCTAACATGCAAACATTCGCTCGTATTTGTGAATGGATAATTTATACCGTACTACATGGGTTTCTTGGATTTATGAGCGGCAAACTTACAAATGCTTGTGCTTATGAATGCAATTCCACGTGTAATGGAGAAGGAGATTTACATGAAAGAAAATCCCTGATATTCACTTTATAAGTAACAAGTAACAATTTATTTAGAACTAGTAATAGAACTACTAACAAACCTGACCCCTAACTATTCCCTAACTGAACAAAATTCTACTGGTATGTTATTCCAATAAACACTTAAGTTTGTTTTAGCAAGGCTCAGGTCTCGGTGCTGCTTAAAGTATTCATTTTAGTCATCTCCTGATCAAGCTGCCACCTTGTGCTATAATTGGTTGTACTAACACTATAGGTAGACATGTAAATTGAGAAGGGAAGAGCTTGCATTTGCATGGCACCTTTCAGATATCATTAACTGTGAAGCATGTTACTGTAAAACATTTTGAAGTGAATTTGCTATTGTAATGTAGGAAAACAGAGCAACCAATTTGCATGCAGAAAGGTCCTGTTCATGGTGATAAAATAATTGACCAGGTATTTTAATTTGGTGCAGTTGGTTGAACAATGAACGTTGACAGGATTCCTCTGTTCCTGCTTAAAAAGTGCCTTGGAACCTTTTACCTTCAGCAGAGAGGGTATCCAGAAGACAGACCCTTGGGCAGTTCCAGAATCTCTCGGTACAACAGCTCAATGTTAGGTTTGATTTCATGCTGAAGACTCGCACCTGCAGCCTTCCAACACGAAAATAAGAAGGTAACCACTGAACCATGTCTGATATAAAATAATCTAGAACTTCATTTTCTTTCAATAGGGAATTCAGCGTAGGATTACAGTAACAATTGTGCACGAAAAGGGCAGTGAGCTTCACTGGAAGGATGTTCGAGAGTTGGTCGTTGGTGAGTGCTTCTCTGAAATTCTTTATCCTTTACAACAAGATGACCTGACTGAAAATATTAAAGTTTGATTTATGAAGTATTTTGATTTTGTTGCTTTGCCAATTCAGTTAAAACTTTCACAAATGTTCCTCTATTTCTAGTTCTCTACAGAATTAAATAATTTCCATAATTAATTCTGTTTGAACTATCAAGATACAATTAGTAGCATACAAAAACAGAAATTGCTGGAGCAACTCGGCAGGTTTGGCGGCATCTGTGGAGAGAAAGAGTTAATGTTTTGAACCCAGTGACCCTTCATCAGAAGTGAAAACAGCTGGGAAAAGGTGATATTTATTCTGATGATTGGGTCCAGGGAGGGGAAGATGAAGGAAGGAAAGAGTGAGTCAAATAAATGGAGATGGTACCCAGAGAAAAATAAAGAAATGACAAAGGGATTGCTAATGATAAGCTGAGAGAGAGATACATTGAATGGGTGCTAACATGGTGTGTGAATAGCTAAAAATGGGTTGGTTGTACTGGGAGCAACCCATACCGACTGGGCCTGAAGTATGTGGGGAGGGTAGGTAATGAACATGGCTGAAGGTGTTCTCACTCTGAAATTGTTAAACTCTGTGAATCCTGAGGATTGTAAGAAGATGAAGTATTGTTCCTCCAGCTTGTGTTGAACTTTGCTGGAACACATGCAACAAGCCTGAGACAAATGTTGACTTACCAACATAGTTGTGCATCTGTAGAGATTGTAACAAGGTCAGCCAGGTGGAGCTCGTAGAATGAGTTCCCATGTTAGGGCTGTTAACCTGGTCCAATCAGGGAGCACTAGCTGACAGAAGCAGGAATGTCAGATATCCATTTCACTCTGAGAGCTGGCTCTGAAGGAGCTGGATCAGTGTCAAGTTCTATGTATGTGTTTCTGAAGAAGGGTCTAGGCCTGAAACGTCAGCTTTCCTGCTCCTCTGCTGCTTGGCCTGCTGTGTTCATCCAGTTCTACACCTTGTTACTTCAGTTGCTATACCAAGCTGTGATGGATCCCCAGATAGGATGCTTTCTGTGGTGCATCTATAGAAATTGGTAAATGTCTTCATGGACGTGCTGAATTTCCTTAGCCTTCTGACGAAGTAGAGGCATTGGTGTGCTTTCTTGAGGGAGAAAGAGGGAGAATGGAGATGACAGACCTGTCAGTTTGATATCAGTCATAGGAAAAAGTTTGAATCTTCTTATGTCCAAAATGACTGGCGAATGGTGTCAAACGCATTCAAAAGTTGGAAGAGCATGGACTGCATTCAACCAGCCTATGCTGAATCACATTTAATGTGGATACCTGTTGAACAATGTGGAGTGTGCCAAGAATTGCTACAATAACTAACTTAAAATTATCAGTCAGGATCACAAAGTTATTCATGTATATTTTCTAGACGATTCATTTTAACCATAGATCTGTCCCTTACAGGAAAAGAAACCAGTCGAGGCATTGCATGTCTCTTGCACAAACAAAAGAGGAGGGAACAGTAGCTCCATGGTGCAATCCCCAAGGCAATATCTGAACTATGCAGAGTTGATTTGCTAACCAGTCAGCAGAGTAAATTGTTGCTCCATTTGAAATTTGCATCTTGTGTCTGTCTTGATGCATGCAAGATGAGAGCCTTCACCAGCATTTGTCTTTGTTTTTCCAGCAATGTTACCAAGCATTCCCACTTTAGCTTGATTGGGCATTTGGAATTTGCAATCTGATTTCTGATAAACTCACAGATTTCCCATTTATTTCATGCAAAAAAATTACAGAAACTGCTCAAGACAGGATCATGTATGCCACGACTTTCGCAGCCAGTCATTTGGTATTTTTCCTCTCGTTTCCCAGGTCGCATCAGGAACAAGCCAGAAGTGGATGAAGCTGTCGTAGATGCTGTTTTGTCTTTGAATATTATTTCTGCAAAGCATATCAAATCTTCACATGAGGCTCATAGGTATGTCTTTTACGGAAAGAAAAACACATTGTGAGGTTCAATTCTTTTTGCCCATACTTTCCTGAAAGAGCATTTGAAATCTGGTAGTGTTTGTTTGTTTGTTTGTTGGAGTACTGATGGTTACCTGGATTGTCAGTGTGGTTTTGAATTTATACTAGCTTCCACTTTTAAATGGTTTTGTTTACCAAAAATCCAGTCCCTGAGACCAGCTAATTGAGGCTGCGACAGTGCAGATAGGCATCAAGGGATGGCTGTGACAAGCTTCCGCTGTTAACATGTAGAAATCGGTCAAAACAGGAAGTCTTTGTGATGTGGATATAATGGAAATAAGTGAGTGGCTGATAGACCAGGTTTGCCTAAATGAGGAGTACCTCATCTGTCAACCAATGAGGCTTAATATCCTAGATTATGTTCTAATATCTAAAGAGCTTTTACACTGAACAAGATTGGAAGTTAAATTAAGACTACAGTCTCATTGCACAGGGCTCAGCAATGAAGAAATAATGTTATAGTCAGGATATCTCTAACCTTTATGTTCTGTTGATGTAGATCAGTGACATTTTTGCAGTTTCTTTTGCTGCTTTCACAAGTCATGTCTGGCTAAATTTTCTTTTTAATGGGGCTGCGTTGCATTCTCCATTTCACTCTTGTCTTCATTGCTACTAATGGATGCCTCTTGTATTTTGCAGGCTGTTTCTTGATTTGGATTTACCTAGGTATTTTGTGTTTTTCACTGCTAATTGTTTATTCTGTGCATGTTAGATTAGCAACCCATCTCTCTTTTTTTTTCTTTTTAATAGAAGTATAATTATTTATTTGCTTTGCTTTTTATATATTCATTCTTTAGTGCTGTTCCCAAGCTTCCTCTTTATATCACAGGCACAGGAAATAATCAAAGGAAAGCAGTTGAATTATTTCTGTGGGCACAATATCATACACACCAGAAGCTCAGAACTCTTTCCCTGTTGCTCTGAGGATTCCAAAAATCAGATGTTCAGCTTCACAGACCCACACCGTATAATTGTAGTTGCAGAAAGTGCTGGTAAAACTCACCTGATCAGGTAGTATTTGTAGCAAGAGAAAGGAAATTCAACATTCAAATTGTTAAGTATTCATTACTGACTTGAGACCTTAACTTTTTCTCTCACTACATTTATTGCCCAACCAACTGATTTTTATCCAGCATCTGTAGTATTTTATAACTGTAATTGTTTAGCAGAGAGTCGGGGCAAAAAATTGTTACCTCTCTGGTTTAAGCTATTGCATTCAGAATAGGTCAATGATCATCCTCTTCTGTTATTGTAGATAAATGCAAACCATCCTGATACACACTGAATGGGAGGACTGCTAACAATCTTCTCAAATAGTGTAACAGTAACGTAGCTAGATTGGTGTGTGTGTGTTGCCAGCAGGAACATCATTGTTAACTTGAAATTATGCTGGTATTTAAGGAGATAGCTTGCCTGGGAATAGCCACAATGATGTGGAACGCAAGTGTAATAAGCTTCAGCAGAGTCAGTCATGGGAGGCTTGCAGTTAACTGTAAGGTAAAGGGCCGAATAAATGATTGGGATTCTCAACACTAGTTAAGCAGGGTAGACAAGCTGAGAATGGAATCTGTCTGACTGATTCCCCACAATCTGCAATAACCTCTTTGCCTTAAGTTTGCACTCGGCAGGAATGGCCTCCTGTGAATAAGGAATTAAAAAGAAGAATTTAAAATAAAGTTTGTGGTGATGGAATATTGTATGACTTACACTTACCCTAAACTATCGCAAGTAATGAACTATTTCAAAATTTTCCAGGCTGTGACCGCTTAGTGTTGAAGAGTACTAAGTCAGCTGGAATTTGGATTTGATCAGGAAAATAAGAGATCGCTGTTATTGTTTTAACCACACTTGCAATTGTGAAAAAGTTTGAAAGGAAATAGCCTGTGATATAAATAATAGTTTCCACTGGCGGTACCTGTAATGTGCCAGTTATGTCACACATTAGTCTCGAGTGATTCCTGTAAAACCTACTCCTGAGAAACATTAACCGTGACATTTCTCTTCTATGATATTCCTGTACCATTCCCCTTATCTTCTAATAGCAGTAATTTAAGTCAATTGTAACTATCTTTTGTTCCAGTAATCTTTATAAATTCCAGGTGGTAATACTCAATCCATCCTCTAAGTCTTATGCTGTGGGGATGCACTGAAATTCCACCATGTTATTAATCAGGTGACTTGTGTAAATGGTAATAATGGTTGTAGTGTGTAGTCAAGAAATAAATAGTAGGATTTTTTTTTTTGTCTTGCCTCTTGTCTCTGAGCCATTTCCACAGATGCTGCAGAGCTCTTCATCACCTCTATCTGGCTGACTGATTTTTGATGCCCATTCCCCATTGCCTCAGATTTAAAAATCTCATCCTTTTGCTTAACTTCCTCATGCATGTGTCACATTTTACTTTGGTAACTTCTTCCAGTCCTTCACCTGTCCCAGCTCTACAAGTTCTCTTGTTAAAGAGGTGAAATTGATTGTGAATTCATTTTACTTCATAATGTTTATTGTAAACGTGCAAGAAATTCCTTTAATAAGTGCTTGGCCATATGCTGTAACATTGGCTGACCTGGCTCTGTCTAATTTTGTTTGCTTCTACTGGGAAGCATTTTAGATCTTTGATTCTGAAAAAGATGCTGTAAAAGTCCAAATTGTTGACGACTGCACAATATCTGTGGAACTGTAACTCAGCAAAAGGCAGTGAGTTTAGTTGAAGAAGATGATTGTTCTGGACTGATTGTTTTTATTTCTGTAGGTTGTTGCAATGAAATAAAGTTGAGGACTGACTTATTACAGGATTTTTCTGACCTCTGCAGAATCATTAAATTGTGTGTCACCCATACAGGATGGAGGTTCCTCGTGTAATTCCAGCTGTACGTTTACCTTGAAAGGCAGGAAGGGACCCTGAAGTCTTGTCCTTCTGCATTTCTTGGCTCCTGGTTTCAGAGCAATTACTGGACTTTTTGGGATCGGTAGCTGGCTCAGATTAGCTAGAAATATTGTAATATGGGTGGATCATCAGGAAAGCAAAGTGAGAAAGTGCTGGGGAAAGCAGCTTAAAGCAAAGTCATAGCCTCTTGATGTAGGGGCTGACCATGTGGTCAGTGCTTTCAGATCTGAATGCAATAAGAATACAAGTTAAACACTTACTTAGATACAATGTAAAGTGCCCCATGAAAGGAACTGCAGGTTGAATAGTAGCCCTTGTGTTGGTAAAGCAAGTATTCAGAGTGGGAAAATTCTCCATTTCCAAGTTAAAGGGGTCTGGCTTTCTTTCTAATAAAAGTGAAATGGTCCAACTATCTGCACTTGAAGTCAGGGTGTCGGAATATTTGCCATCAACTGTTTTTTTTTAGGAAGATGTCGATTTATTTACTTCAGGGAGCAACTGATCATTTGAAAAACCTTTGGTTGCCTGGGTTAAATTCTGGAGAGCATAAATTTTATTTTGTAAGACTGTTGAGTCAAAAATGTCATTTCTACTCTCCTTGTTTAAAAATGATCCCCAGCAGAGACTTTGCATGTTAGCAATGGAATAACGTTTTACATCTTTTAAAACAAAGATTCTTTCTGCAGAAGGCCTCTCATTAGAACGCCATTATGAGGTGTCTAATTGTGACTTAAACTACAGGCTACTATGAATATGAAAAAATCCTTGATGCAAATTAAAGTTCCTATCTGAAGATTATTGTATTTTAGGTTAGCTCATCTTGTTTAAAAAATATTGCTGTCCCCGTGTATACCTTTTTGACTCTGTATTAGGAACTTAGGAACAAAAGTAGGCCATTCAGCCCCTCAAGCCTGTTGCACCAATCGAATGAGATCATGGCTGATATGTGGCCTAACTCCAGATATCTGCCTTTGGCCCAAATCCCTTCATACCTTAACAATGATCTATCTCAGATTTAAAATTCACTAATTGAAAAATGACTTAATTTGTTAAAAAAAAAAGTTATCGTAGATATATAATATCAGTGGCACAAATGATGTCTTCCAACATGTTGTATACCTTTGACAGCACTCTCTCTTGTGAGGCTTTCCACTGCTTTTATGGAGGGTCTCCTTTGTCCACAACATTTCTTTTGCAGCTGCAGGACTGAAGATCAGATCAATTGTGGATCTTCCAGTTTTGAGACCAGCCTGGAAACCTGGTTAGAGTGGTTGAACTGAGAAAGTAATGAGGATACAGATATAAGAATCCATGTAATGGCATGGTAGGAATAATAACTTTAGGGGTGCCACTGCTGCAAAAAGTCAGGAACATTCCAAGCATGTCATCAGATGTAGTGGGGGTTGTTTAGCTCATTTGGCTGGATGGCTGGTTTACAATGCAGAGTGATGCCAGCAGTGTGGGTTCAATTCCTGCACTGGCTGAGGTTACCATGAATGACTGTCATTCTCAACCTCTCCCCTCACCTGAGGCATGGTGACCCTCCAGTTAAGCCATGCCAATTATCTCTCCCTAATGAAGGAGGAGCTCAATGGTCCTCTGGAACTATGGCAACTTTATCTTTTTTTTGCAGTTAGTTAGCAATCAAGAATTACTTCAATTCTGGTTTTCCTCTGCACTTGTCAGGGAGCAAATAATCAATCCCCAGATTTGGTCAGTATTGAAATTATGATTTTTGTGAGTGCCTGGATATAGATGTTTGCTTTAATTGTGTTGCTTCCATTGTCCAATAACAAATAAGTCCTCCTGCTGAGGATGAACAGTGACCTGGGCATCAAATAGGGAATTTGCCTGCGCTTGTGATACTGCAACCCAGTGAGAGTAGTGACTTTCAGGAGGATAGGGTGATCAGTCCAAAAATAGTTTAGATTCACAATGTATATTTTTTACATTCTTGGATCAGATGGATAAAACTGAACAGCATTTTCTTTATGATTGCTAAATCACATAAAAGATATCTCTGTTCAGAATGCCAGTTCTGAAGTGTGCTGAGAGCATCCATAATAAGTTATGATTTTTTTTTTACAAAGCTTTTATATTGTGTTGTAATTGTGAACTTTCAAAAGCTTTACATTCCCAGAAAAAGCCTGTCCTATCCTTGTCTCAGATCAGTAATTAGAATGTCCCTGTGAAACGCTGATCATCATGTTTCGGTTTTGCCACAATTCAATGTTTTTATATTCAAAACTGACTTCTACCACTTGTATTCCCTTCGCCCTTCAGAAGTTTTTATCGGTTCGAGGCTGTTTGGGATAGTTCTCTGCACAACTCCCTCCTCCTAAACCGTGTGACACCATATGGTGAAAGAATCTACATGACCCTTTCTGCCTATCTGGAGGTTTGTCTTTCAACTGGTTCTAACAAATCGGCAATATGTTTTGATGACCGTTGGCTTCATTTTGTAACCGTTCAAATATAAGAAACATCTATGTTTTCTCCTTGTGCTGGTTTCATTTCAGAAATGGAAATTGGATATAATTTTTGGAATGCACAGGCAACAATTTCTACACATAAACTAGCCAATCTCCTTAATGCCACACATAGGAAGTTGAATCCCAGTCTAGTTTTCGTGTGAAGTGGAGTTGGTGATAGGATGGTAACTTGGAGCTATGAATGCGAAAGTATGGTTCAAAAAAATTATCTCTGTACTCAAACCAAATGCCCAAAATGTGATTTGGTCATCTTACTTTAGTGATAGGAACTTCTTGTCGGCTTACAGTCGATTCTGATATAAGGCAAAGTTTGTGTTCTACAAATACTCATCTAAATTCTTCAATCGCATTAAAGCCAATTCGTGTTGAAGGAATACGTTATAGCAGAATAGACTGTATTTTTCAGGACACTTTCAGTGCAGCTGTTACATTCCTTGGTGCATTCATAGAATCTCTACAGTGTGGAAAGGGCCATTCAGCCCATCAAGTCCACACCAACTATCCAAAGAGCATCCTACCCAGCATTACCCACCACCCCCACTCTATCACTCCGCATTTCCCATGGCTATTCCACCTAGCCTGCACATCCTTGGACACTGTGTGCAATTTTAGCACTGCCAAACTACCTAACTTGTGCATATTCCCCACAGATGGGTTCGCTGCTAGCATCTGGTGACTAAGTCCCTGGCGCTATGAGGTAGCAGTGCTAACCACGGTACCACCTGCCCATTTTGTTTTATTCTTGACATCTAAATTAGCACAGTTCAGATGGGTCATTGCCAGCATGTTCTGATGTTAACTCTACATTTTAGGGGTGTCAATGACACATCAACACAAGTCCAGTAAGAAAATCATGTTAAATCGGGATTAAGTTGATAGTGATCCCCAACTTCTTCACTGAGATAAGTGCAGGCCACAACCTTTGTTGAACAGCTGTACTCTCAGAAAGAAAACAAAGAACTGTAGATCCTGCAAATCAGAAACAAAAACAGAAATTGCTGGAGAAACGCAGCAGGCCTGGCAGTATCTGTGGAGAGGAAGCAGAATTAACATGTTTTCGTCCAGTAATTCTCCTCCAGAAGAAGGGTTGCTGGGCCCAAAACATTAACTTAGTTGTGTTCTTCTCACTGGCTTAATACCATCTGATTCACCACTAATGTGCTATGTAACTTTCATTTGTTAATTATCTTTTATGTATGCAATGATGTTGTTGGTTTGCTAAATTGGGTTTCTTTTTTGGTGTGTGGGCATTTCAGCTCTGAATTTTGTTTCTGCATCTTTTAATCTTCCAGCTTGACCATTGTATTCAACCTGCGGTCATCACCAAGGACATCTGTATGATCTTCTACTCCCGGGATGCCAAGATCTCACCTCCACGGTCCCTGCGGAATTTATTCGGCAGTGGCTATTCAAAGACACCAGACTGGTATGTGAGCCTTTCAAGATCAAATGCCGAAAGACGCTCAATGAGGTTTTAAAATGTTACCAATATGCGAGTAAATTGAGAAAAAAAAATCCCTATTCTTTTGTGCGTGATGCTAGCAAGGCCAGCATTTGGTAGCGTTCCCTCATTGCCCTGGAACTGAAGAGATTACTGGGTCATTTCAGAACGCAGTTCAGAGTAAATGACCTGGAGTCAAACATGGATCATATGAGGTAAGGTTGGCTGATTTCCTTAGTGGGTATTAGTGAATCAGATGGGATTTTACAACGATTTATGCTAATTTCTTGACTGAGACTAGATTTATAATGAAATTTAAATTTCAATCAGCTACTGTGGTGGAATTTGAACCAGTGCATTGGCCTGGGACTCTGTACTAATAATGACATTGCCACTGTATCACTGCCTCACCCTAACTTAGCCCAGTCACCATAAGGCCATTAGATATAGAGCAGGAGGAGGCCAATCAGGCCCATCAAGTCTGCTCCACCATTTGATGAGATGATAGTTGATCTGATAATCCTCAACTCCACTTTCCTGCCTTTTCCCAGAACCTTACAGATTCCTTTACAGATAAAAATTCTATCCATCTCAGCCTTGAACATGCTTAACAACCCAGCCTCAACTGCCCTATGTGGTAAAGAATTCTACAGATCCTTTGAGAGAAGAAATTCTTCCTCGTCTGTGTTTTCAATGTTCATCCCTTTATTCTGACATTATGTCCCCGGTCCGAGAATGAGTCAAATTTAAGCTCAGTTGAAATTTTCATGAACACCTTAGCTGATTATTTGGATAGAAACGGTGTATATTGGGACAAGGCAGCAGATTGGCAGTAGGGAATAGAACTGGTTCTAGGCACAATAGGCCAAATGCACTGAAACAGTTCAATGATTTTGAGAGTCTCCCACAAAGGGAAACCACCTTTCTGAATTTACCCTATCAAGCACCCCCTCCTCCGGTATCATTTTACGTTTTAATACAACCCCCTCTCATTCTTCTAAACTGCAGTAAATGCAAGCTCAATGTACTGAAACTCTCCTCATGAGGAAATCCGTCCACAACCTGGATCAGCATAGTGAACCTTGTCTGAACTGTCTCCCATTCTAAGGGACCAAAATGGTTCATAGTATTTTGATGTGGACTGACTTTGTATAGTTTTACCAAGACCTCCCTATTTTTGTGTTCTATTCAGAAGCGTTGCTCCTTCCTCCATTGACCCGAAAGCTAGTGTTTTCAAATACACCTGTTGGACTATAACCTGGGGTCATGGAATTTTTGACCTTGTCCAACCCAGTCCAACACCAGCATCTCCACATCGTGTTTTCTATTAGTTAGCTAATATTCTATCCATGCAAATATGCTACACCCAACATCCTGGCTTCTTATATTGTTAAGTAACCACGTGTGTGGAACCATATTGAATATCTTTCCAAAGTCCAAATATATTATATCTACTAGTTTCGCTTTATCTATGCTGCTTGTTAACACCACAGAATTCTAACAGATTAGTCACATCGTTTTGTGTAAGTGGGCTATATGCTTGTGTTATTTTTACAAAATGACTTTTGATTGAAAAGGTAATACTTTGGTAATCATTTTCTGTGATGGTAAAGATGATGAGGACAAAAAGTAGTAACTTGTTTTTTTGTTTTGGTTTTGATTCAGTAATCGAGTGAGTGGAGTATATGAGCTCAGTTTATGCAAAATGGCAGACACGGGGAGCCCTGGTAAGTCCAAGATTCCAGTGATCTTGTTTCTATTTATGCTGTTTGCCCCAGGTTTTGTCTGTCACTGGATAAGGTACACATACACACACAAGCACTTCTGCAGGTGTCTCTGGTTGGAATTGTAACTGATGGTATTTATTTATGCTTGTTGCTTGGGATTTGAGTTTTGCTGGCAAGGCTGTATTTTTGCCCATCCCTTGTCGACCTGAGGAGTTGGTGATTACCTTCTAGAACTGCTGCTGTCGTTGATGTGGGACTTGGCACAACCACTTGGATTACTGGACCATTTCAGTGTTAGTCACTGTGTTGCTAGAGTCACACATGCTGACTTAAGTTGTCTCCTGTCTCCTGTCTCCTGTCTCCTTCCCTGATGACCATTACTTTTCCAATTGTGATTTTACAACCATCTGACAGCTTAACCTTTACTGCTGCCAGCTTGGTGTTGCGCATTTTTTTTTAAAAGTGGAATTCAATTTCCCAAACTGCTCTGATGGGATTTAAATTCACATTCTCGGAATTATAGCACTTGTTGAATGGGGAGCACTGACAGACTCAGTGTGACCATTTGAATAGAATTTTATTTCAAACTGATGTCTCTTCCACACAACCTATTAGGGTACTTAGCTGCTGTTAATAGGCTCTTTGGATTTGATTTCCTTCAAGCCATCAGGACACCTTCCACAGTAACAGCCTCACACAGGCACCTCAATGTATCAAAGCCAATTAAATCTCTGATCAATAAAATGACTTCCTGAGTTATCCCCAACCTCAGCTGTGTTCACAGAACTGATGTACTGTGACAGCATAGATGACGTACCTTTTCAAGTGACACTGTGTGTTTCACACTTTATTGTTCGAAGTCTGGAGAGGTTTTTCTGTACATATATTTTGCAGTTGAAATGGAATTGAGCAAGATTCCTGTACTGCTTTAGTTTGAGTATATTTGCAACCAGTGCTCCTCTTCATTGGGTGAACTTTGTCCTCTACCCAGTTACTTTCCACAGGGAATTGCTGTCACGTTAGATTACAGAACAGAATATTAGGGAGAAAATCAATTTGGCTAATATGATCTCCTTTGAAATATATTTTCAGGAAGTACATTGATCTGTAGATATTCACAAAAGATTAACTTTAAATTATCATGATGTGTATCTAGTGTGTCATTTTATTACAGTTCTTAGAAATATCAGAGCACCCGATTTGATTTTGGTGCAGGACACTGTAGGTTATTTTACACACCCATATCCGTTTTTCAAATTAGACAGTAAAAGACTTTCATTGTAAATCAGCTATACAATACAAACATCATCTCATCTTAGAGTATTGCAGCACTTGGATGCCCTTCAGTTCATTGTCTGCACTGGTCATCAGATACTTATCTACTGTAATCTGATTTCCCAGCAGTTAGCTCGAAGCCTTGAGTGCTTTAGCTTTTCAAATATTTATCTAAATCTGCTTAAATGTGATGAGAGAATGAGAGAGCAGTCCTATAGTCCTCCTGGGTCATAGATTGTAGAATCCCCACAGTATGGAAGCAGGCTATTTGGCCCATCGAGTCCCACACCAACCCTCTGAAGAGATCCCACCCAGATCCATTCCCCTATTTTCTTCCTGCATTTCCCATGACTAATCCATCTAGCATGCACATCCCTGGACACTGTGATAATTTAGCATGGCTAATCCACCTAACCTGCACATCGTTGGACTGTGGGAGGAAACTGACGAAGACACAGGAAGAATGTGCAAACTCTGCTCCGCCTGAGGCTGGAATCGAACCCAGGTCCCTGGCGCTGAGAGGCAGAAGTGCTAACCATGGAGCCACCATGCCACTCCTGTGGTGTTCTATAGTGACTTTTGACTCGCTGGGTGAAATAGTTTGTCTTTACCTCCTCTAATTCCTTCCCTGTATCTTAAATCCATGCCCCCTGGCTGATGGGCTGCCCACCTAAGTGGAATAGTTCCTTCCTGTCAATGCTCCTCATAATTTTACAGACCTCTAAGGAGAGGTCTTCACATCTGGAAGGAGAACAATCCCAGCCCTACATATAGTCTGTAAGCCACCTTTTCCCCTCTAGACCCTTGCCCAAAATCAACACCCACTGAGGAAGACCTCGGGTCTTTTTTTTGTATGTAAAGAAACCCACCATCAAATTAAACAATCACCCAGTGAACAAATTACAAACACTATCCACCGGGGCAGTGTGACGATAATAAATCAAAAAAGGGGGTGAAATCAAGGAAGGTAGGTAAATCAAAATGATGGTTTTCAGGTAAATAGTGCACTCCAGCCCCCATGGTGCTTTGAGGGTTCTGGTGGGCATCACAAGCTCCCTCTACAGGGACTTCCAGGAACGTGCACAGCTATGGAAGAGGGGTAAGAATTCAGCACTTGGGTAGTTTTAATCCAGCTGTTCAGAGATGTTAAGACATGTGTCTGGAGAAAGTGGACTTCCTGGCCCAGGGGTGGGGACACTACCATAGAAGCCCCTGAAGAACTTGACTCTTAAATACGAAAGACCAGCGAGGAATTTAGAATTGTTAAATGTGCATGTTTTCTCTTTGTCTTCCTTGACGTTTTTTTTTGGAAGATTGATTTGCTTCCCTCCAGTGGGTAGGCAGAACAGGGAAATGCAGAGAGTACAAGGAGGTTTCTAAGCCTGTCATGCCTTTGCTGTCTCCATTCCTTCTCTTAGCAACTTGTAACTGATGGAGAAGTACAGCTGGGCTAGATGAAAAGTACTCTCCTGCAAAGATGCTGGAAATGTTGCTGGTGGTCTGTTACACTCTGCGAAGCATCAGTGGGCTGTCTAGGAAGAAAATTGGAAGGATAATTGAGAACTGAATTATTGATTTTCAACCTTGAGTGAAGGCTCAAAATTCTTTTTAAAATATTTAATTTTTATTGTGGATGATAAAATCATATCATTGTGAAATGAAAGCAGAAAGTGAGGATGAAACTGGGCAGGTCTGATAGCAAGTGTAGAGTGTGATATAGAGTTAGCAGTGGCAGGACCTCAAAGAAATGCAGTTCTTTCTCTCTCTGCAGCCATGTAATTCCCGGGAGAGACACAAGCACAGAAATAAATCCTGGTCCAGTGAAGTAATGAACAGTGTGTAAAATTGCTCTCCATGTTCCTCAGACAGTTTAAACTAACTCTGGAGAATCACACCTTGCCTGTATTTTTTTAAAATAAAAACTGAATCCAATGATGCAACCTCTGCCCCACTCAAACTAGTTGTCCCCTACACGAAGACACACAGCATCAAAATGCACCACAATAGTCAGCACTAATTTTACAGCCTCCCAATTCTCTCCATCATTGTCATTTCCTGTTTAACATCTCGACTTGTTTGCTTTGTCAGTTACCTAGTGCACAAGCAGACCACACAAGTGCTGATTATTTAATAATCTAATTGGACCAGTGACCCTGAGTTCTTGGGTCATCCTTCTGAGTATAAATTGAATTTCACCACCACTTACCATTGTATGAATGCGAAAGTCACATTTTTCAATGAAATGTAAAAGCTCACAGTACAGAGGAGGCTAATCAGCCCGCAGTAACAGCTGCTGTGATATGTCTCACAGTTAGTATGTCTGTTTACCTTTTAAGATGTGCTCACTGATGTTATCACTGTGCAATAACATTTGATCTGAGGATCTAATGATTCTATGCTCCATCTTCCTTCGGATCACTTGAAGCATGATGCCCTGTTGGATGCATGCTGCTGTGTTGCAAATGACTAGCTTAATGGTAGCCTGGATACTGCCTGAGGAATGTAATATTTGCAGATTATAATCAGTTGTAATGAATGTCCGTTGGATTCTTTAATATCCTCCACCAGTTGCTTGCTTGCGTTAAGGGAGATAACATAGGCATTGCTGCAGGTAAAATACCCCACTGGAGGCAAACTTTCATCAAGTGCTGGCCCTTTGAAAGAACTTATGCTAGTCACAGATTCAAGCTTTAGACCCAACCTTGCAAGTTCCTCCTCCTTCAGTAGCAATCCAATCTCTCGTTATGGGGAGGCGATGCCTTGTGGTATTATCACTGGATTATTATTCTAGAAACTCTGCTAATGTGCTGAATTTCATCATGGCAGATAGTACAATTTGAATTCAATTTATTTTAAAAATCTGAAATTAATAATCTACTGATGACCATGAAACCATTGCAGGTTGTCGGAAAAGCCCATCTGCCCCACTAATGTGCTTCAGGGAAGGAAATCTGCCATCCTCACCTGGTCTGGCCTACATATGACTCCAGTCCAACAGCAATGTGGTTGACTCTCTCTGCCCTCTGAAATGACCTACCAAGCCACTCAGTTCAAGGGCAGCTAGGGGCAGGCAATAAACGTTAATCAGCCAGAGATGCCAACACCCCATGAGCGAATAAAAAGAATTAAAATTATTTTTATGTAATCTGCCTCAAACCTTTTCATGTCAAAACTTCCAGGTACCAACATTTCTGAATCAAAACTTTTGTTATTTTTCTCACTATTTCTATGGTTGGTGTTTTTTGTTGCTTCAATTGGTATTTATTGGTTTCCATTTAGTGTATTGAATTTTTAAAAACTTTTTAAAATGATTTTTTTTGTGTTTTTGCATATAATTCATTTGTATTTTTTAAAGCTTTGGCTAACTTTTCAACATTATTTCAGTGACTTGTGCACGACCTTGGGTATACTTCAGTTTGATCATGGCACCAATTTGTTCTGCCATCAGTGTACATTCCAGCAGCCTGCCATTTGGAGAATGGCTACACATTATGATGAGAATGCCCAAAATAACCAACTTAGGCATTGGCATGATATAGAGATATCGGTGTTGCCTATTGCACTAAATGCGTTCCTTGCCATGGATTTATTTGGGGGGGATCCTGGATAAAAATGTGAGGGAGAAAGAAATAGCTGTTGACAGGGTGATTTGTTATAAATCAGGTAGGAGGAAGCTTATGTGGAACATGAACACTGTGTCAGTAGCTGGTGGATGTAGTGGTTATTGAATACTTTAAAGTCCGAGCTGGATTGATTCACGTTAGACAGAGGACTTGCTGGCGGGGGATTGGGGTTACTGGGGATAAATGAGAATGTGCAATTCAAAACAAACTGATCAGCTATGATCTTATTGGTAGGTGGAACAGGCTTGAGGGGCAAAATTGCCTATTTCTGCTCCTATTTTGTGTGCTGTTATGCATTAGTACTGTTTCTGTTCTGCAAATATGGTGTACTTTTCCTCATGAAAATGTAGGCAGAGTCAATTACCCACAAGTATCCCTACCGTGTGGAAGCAGGCCATTTGCCCACCACTACCCCCCAACTCTATCCTGTAAACCTCCATTCCCCATGGCTGATCCACCTAGCCTGCACATCCCTCCAGGTTGTGGCCAATTTAGCATGTCCAATCCACCTAACCTGCACACCTTTGGACTGTGGGAGGAAACCAGAGCATCCAGAGGAAACTGTCGCTCGAGGCTGGAATCGAACCCTAGTTCCTGGCACTGTGAGGTAGCAGTGTTAACCACTGACCCGCCATACACCCTGATAGATTGGAAAAATATCATCAGGAAGCTCTGTCAGAACTCTGTTTCAATTTGTGTCCCTCGGTTGTCTGAGCAGGTGAAAATAAATTTACTAGAATTGTGGTCATGCTTGTGTAACGTGAAGAGTTTTTAACACAGGTGGGGTAATAATTTCTCCCCTGTTCTCCAGGAATGCAAAGGAGGAGAAGAAAAATTTTGGACACCTCTGTTGCCTACGTTCGAGGAGAGGAGAATCTGGCAGGTTGGAGACCCCGTGGGGACAGCCTCATCCTGGAACACCAGTGGGAGCTGGAGAAACTGGACCTCTTGCATGAGGTAAATGGCAGGGAATACTGTGAATACGGGAAAATCTCAGCAGGTCAAGCAGCATCAGTGGGAAGGAAACCCTGGCTACTGTTTCAGGACCTTCTGTCAGAACAGGTTTCTGGGTGACCTTGAGTAAAGCAGTTTACATTTGGAAGTTCTTTTGGTTCAGAGCAGTGACCAAAAAGGAGACATTTGTTCCCTCAACTTGAGCCCTACTTTGGAAATCGGTACATGATAAATTTATTACTTTCAAGTAATTATTTTGAGTGTGTATTAGAATTCAGGGTGAAGATAATTATACAAGTCCTGTTTGCTCGTTGATTCAGGTAGTGTTTCACACATTTTAGATATTCAACTACTACATACTAAATATTTATTTAACACTCCTTGAAAATATCAAAAGCAGATGTAATTGAGCGGTAGACCCCACCAGGAATTTTTTCTAAACAAATAAAGACAGTACTTTCATTCCTCCTTACCTGCAGCGTAAACAGTGAAGCCAAAAGCCATCTTCTTCATTCCCTGTATCTATGTATTTGTCTCTTGTTTGTCTGATATGCAATACTTGAAATGAACCAGCAGTTCTCAAGTCCTTTCATTGTAAATTATTGACTCATTGATGCCATTTAACACCAGCACAGCTCCAATATATTTTTGCTTGGAGCATTCGGCTAGGAGGTTTTTTAGGGCTCCTTTGATTGAGTGATGGTGTTCCTACCTCTGAGCCAAGAGGTCTGGGTTCATGTCCTACCTGCTCCAGAGATGTGTCACAACATCTGTGAACAGGTGGAAATTGGGAAAATATCTTTGGTTGGGATATGTCATTCCTGGCACTGAAGGAGGCTATTTGGCCCATTGGGTTCTTGCACAAGGCCAGCTCTTGGTCATAGCTGGCACCTCAAAGTACAGCAAACTTTGATTAAATTGGCAAAAATTATGCACCTGAAATACTAGATGTTTACTGTATTATTGTGATCGCTGTGATGTCAGAGTGTTCAAGAATATGAGTGAGAAGGGTCTCTGCTGCTAAGTTTCATTTAAGTTATTATTTAAGTAATTCATGCTGTAAATAAAGTATAATATTGATGTGTACATCCCCTGCATTGTCTTTCTATTACTTAGTGAGTGTTTTTACATTAATTATGTGGAACTCTTAATCAACTGAATATTTGCTCACTCCTAGTCCCATAGGTGCTGGTTAATAAAAGGTTTGCCATATGTATCGGTGGCTTTTTACATCTGTTTTTACCTAGTCTGGTGTGGATTGTTCACCATTTGACATTTATTTTTTCTACTTCCTACATATATTGAACTGTAAAATCAGCCGTGGCAAATGCCATGATTCACCAGAATGTTACAGCGAAGAACGAGGCCATTCAGCCTGCTGTGACTGTTTTGGTCATCTTCAAGCACAGCTCAGCCTGTCCCAAACCTTTGTGTTTTCCCTGTCACCCTGGATAGATTTCCTTGTGACAAATGAGCACAGGTGTTTCCTTTGAAAATGTTTTTGTTTGCGTCCAGCTGCGTAACCTGTTGTGTTCTTTCGAAGGTTGAGCGGACACGCCATCTCCTGTTACTGCGTGAGAAACTCAGCGAGGCGACTTCAAAGTCTCTCTGCGACTCCATCTCCCCGAGTATGAGCAGTGGCACGCTCAGCACCTCGACCAGCATTTCCTCGCAGATATCAACCACAACGTTCGAGAGCGCTGTCACGCCCAGTGAGAGCAGTGGGTACGACTCTGCAGACATTCAGAGCCTTGTCGATCGAGAGAAGGAGCTGGCCAGCAAGGTATTGCAGAGTGGGGCACAGCTGACAGGAGTTGCTCATTGTGGGGTCTATGTGCTGTGGCTAAAGAATGCTTGTTCATTATACAAAGTCACAAAAGATTGATGCTTTGGTTTAGAACTTCAGTATAAGTTTGGGTGCTTGATCCAGAGGACAAACTTGGAACTTTCTTTTAGTGGCAGTTACCTTTAGAAGAAATCTTGTTTGCCTGCTTCTCTTCAAGAAAGTTGTATTGAATTGTAATAATTGAACAGCCGCTGCATTTATTTGGACCATGAGTGACAATTTCTTTCTGCTCAGAAGTGATAGTTTGTGAATTAACTGCCAGCATTTTATTAATTCCCTTGGGCACCTCCCAAAAAATTCCTAAATTCTTTTTGTGTAGATACAGTCTTGGCTCCCCACACAGCATGTTCATCAGTCTGCCTTACTGTTTGTAGAAAAGCAGAGGACAGTGGCCAAACGCATCCTAGCCAACCCAGGAAATTGGAAAGGCAATCAACCTGGTTATTCTGGTATATCCTGTGCTGCCCAGTTACAGTGACTTTTGGTGCAGTCCTGAGAGCGAATGATTTTGCTGCTGTATGAATTGGAAAGAAAACAGTAAAGCACTTTTTTTTTGTTTTAAATGAAACACTCAGCACTTTTCTTTGCAGTAAACCAAGTTTATGTGTCAAAATGGAACAATTAGCAAGGCCAATATATTCAGACAGTTTGTTGAATGTCTTCTGGATCTATGGTCCAAATAATGAGGTGACGAAACTGCCAAATGGGTGCCTGAAACATCAATCAACAGGGCACTATCTCGACCTGCTTTCTGTGAATCATTGAATCTAACGTAAGGAAACCTTATGGTCCATAATACTAGTGCTAGCCCTTTGAAAGACAAGCTGTCCCATTAATTCAACCATTCCATTTCTCGTAGCCCTGCAAAACTTTCCTCTTCAAATTCTGTGCCCAGTTCCTTTGTTTTAAATCACAATGTTCTTTTCATCTCTTCTTGAGCTTGTTTGCCAATTCTCCCAGTTTCGTTCCCTAGAAACAACAATTGTGGATTTATTCAACCTAGCTGGTCTCCAGGATAAAGTTTTTCTGAAAGTGAATACCATTACAACTGAAGTAATCTCTATAGCTGCTGCTTTATTCTCAGTGCAAATTTGGAGAAGCTAAATTAGTAATCTAAATCAAATATTTCACGTACGTTAGCATTTTTGTGAAACCTGCTTCGTGTTTATTGGCCTCTCTGATCTATTTCTTGCCTGGTCATCATGTCTTTAATGTGCAATAATCTTTTTGTTTCAGTGCTTACGACTTCTAATGCATACCTTTAATAAAGAATTCAACCCTGTCTGCAGCAGCATCAGTGACGGCAAGGTAAATACAAACGTTCTTCACAAAGAACCGTTTTAAGACACCCTGAAGATGCTACAGACCAGTTTATGTTGATTTTTAGTAGACCACAAGTTATGTACATCTGAAACGGGGCAGCATGGTGGCTCAGTGGTTAGCACTGCCACTTCACAGCACCTGGGACCAAGGTTTGATTCCACCCTCTGGCGACTGTCTGTGTGGAGTTTGCACGTTCTCCCTGTGTCTGTGTGGGTTTTCTCCCGCAGTCCAAAGATGTCCAGGTTAGAGTGGATTGGCCATGCTCACTGGCTCATAATGTGCAGGACTGTGAAGGCTAGGTGGGTTAGCCATTGGAAATGCAGGGTTACCAGATAGGGTAGTGGGGTTGGGTCTGGGTGGGATGCTCTTCGGAGGATTGGTGTGGACTCGATGGGCCAAATGGCCTGCTTCCACACTGTAGTGATTCTATGATTCTAAGTAATCACAGGAGGTTATAGTACACTGTGTAGGTTTGCAAGCATTAATGCAAGGTTCTCGTGCAAAAGCTTGCCCGTTTGAAGGGCACCCTGACTAATTGCAAAAGACTTGGCCAGTTTTTGAAAGAAAAACTATGCTGTAATTGCCAAAAGTGTATTTCATAAAGGTGAAAGAAATAGGAATAACTTAACAGGTAAGATTAAAGAAAAAGGTAAAACAGCTACCACAGTCTGATATCAGACAGAAATCTTGCTGAACAGATCTGTAGTACAGAGGGGGTTGTGTTAAGGGCCTGGATGGCTGTTTGCAATGCAGAGTGATCCACAGCGTGGGCTCGGTTCCCACCCTGGCTAAGGTTACCATGAAGGGCTGTTCTTAATTTCTCCTCTTGCTTGAGGTGTCGTGACCCTCAGGTTAAACCATTTGTGTCTCTGTAATGACAGCGGACCCCAATGGTCTGGTAAAACTAGGGTGACTTTACCTTTTGGGGAGGAATACAAGTTTCAATATTTCTGCTTTGTGCTACAGTATTCTGATGGACTTGTATCAAATCCATAAAGATTCTTTTTATATTATTGTTATCTAAAGTAATATACAATTTGTTTCCTTCCAAAAACTGCCCAAACATTAACCATCAGACCTGGATAGGATCTCTTAATATTGAGCACCTAAAATTGATATATTGTGCTCTTAAATAAACGATCTCATTGGGAAAAAGCCTTGCTTGTGTTGTATTGTAACCCACTGGAAAATGCATTCAAAAGTCCTTTCTACAGATGGATTCGGTGTCAGGCTTCTTGGTATATCTGTTAGGAAATATCGTTTTGCAGATGTGATGTTATTTTCAAAGAGTATTCTTTGGCAATTTAGGAGAAAGCAGCTGTTGTTTTGACAATTGTATATTTGTCGTTCAGCAAACCAATCCTAATACTTTGAGATCATTTTAAAATAAGCCATCAACTCTTGAAATTGTAATTCCTCTGAAATAGCTGTGCACTGTGATTATACCACACAAAATACTACTTTGACATCTTAAATTGTTTCAAGGTAAGTTAAAATGAGTTTGTTCTTGTTTTGGTAAAGTCAGACGTGGATTTCTAAATACTCCATGTTTCAGCTTTCAGATGTGAACTCTCCGATTGGCCGTGATGCTTCTGTGTCCAGTTTTAGCAGCACCACGCTCACTCCTTCTTCCACCTGCCCATCACTTTCAGACTCCCGGTGTAACTCAGTGGATCAGAAGTAAGTCTGCAGTTGAGGATTTTTTGTGCTAATCAACTTTGAAAGATGCGGAGTGAAAAATAGAATAGTTTCCACCTTGTTGAACTGTTTGAATGATACTGCAAAGAGAGGGAGAAGAGAGCACAGAAAAGAAAACCCTGCAGCAGTACGCATTAATCTCAAACTTAAAAGACTGCCTCCCTCACCTTTACATATGGCTGCTGTGTCACATCATATTATAAGCAATTTTAAACTGTCCCTTTCATTGCACAGAATTGGGTTGACAGTATAGAAGTTAGTTTGAGAATCCTTGGAGCCATTAGTGAAAGAACTGAAACCAACTTCCCAAGTTCCTAGTGGGTTTCCCCTTTTCTCCTCTCTCTCTGTAAACAGCTTCCGGTATCACCGTAAATGCAGTTTGCTACTTTGGAGGTTTGGCCTACATTCAAAGAAGGGAGCACCTTGGTCACATTACAATTCAAAAGCTCAGCCCATTCATTATACCCTGTTGTTTCTAATAAGTTACAGAATTGCCTTTTCTACCCTCGGTCACTCAACCTCTGTCTTTTTGACTCCTTTCTGCCTAGATGCAAAGCCCATCTTTGGGTGAGCTGTCTGCCATTCCTAAACATTCATGAATTAGGCCTCATCGCCTTGTTGGAGATGTCAGTGTTCCAGGGCCATGTAACACAAAGATGTCAAACCTAATTGGACCATTTCTCTTCAACACAACTTGGATCCCTAAATTACTTTTTGTAATCTATTCTAACTTCTTAATGAAATCTTCAATAGTGAAGACCTGAGAGGTAATGAAGCACCAATGATTCTGATCCTGGTCAATGCTGGTTTTGTTGATTCACCACTTGTGAAGAACTTCCATTCTTGTATGGCTATTTCAAACTCTGTTTCCCCACAGCATGGAACAGTTAATCTCCACAATGCCATGGGGGCATCTTTAATTGAGTATTTCAGGCCTTGCTTCCATGGAGTTCTGAGGAAGAGTCCTGTCAAACACATGTTTCTCTCTCCACAGAATGTTGCATGATCTGCTGAAATCCTCCATTTTCTATTTTTATTTCTTGCTTCTATGTAACCGGAGACTGTGTTCGTATTTCAGGACTCCAGAGGCCAACTCAAGATCCTCTAGTCCATGCGTGGAGTTTGACGGCTTCCCCATGGTTTCTCGAGTTGAAACATCGTACCTTGCCAGAGCGGGGAAGAATGAATTTTTAAACCTGCTTCCTAACATTGAGGAGATCAGGACTGGGTAAGAGGTTCTGGCTAGATTCTCCAATTTATTTGCTCCAACCTATTTCCAAGTTACAAGCACTCTGTAAATGTTACACCAGTTGCATATGACCTTTTTGTGTATGATTCTTTTCATATGCTGAAGTCCTGTGGTGTCGAAGAAAGGGTATCTGCATTTCATGGAACCGCAGTCTAATTCTTGGGTGAAGCATTACGTTGCAATTCGCCGTCCATACGTGTTTATCTACAACAGTGATAAGGACCCCATGGAAAGAGGCATTCTGAATCTGTCCACAGCCCAGGTGGAATACAGTGAGGATCAGCAGGCTATGCTAAAGGTTGTTATATTGCTTACATATGTTTTCACCAGCAAAGAACAAGGCATTTGTTACAGCATAATGTTTCTAATCCGTTATCAGGCAGCCCAAATCACTAAGATCCATGAACCACACCCAGGATTGAATACAGAAACGTAGAGAATAGTGCAGGATTAGGATCTTCGAGCCTTCTCCACCATTCAATACAATCACGGCTGATCGTCCAACTCAGTCCCCTGTTTCCCCTTTCTCCCCGTACCCTTTGATCCTTTTAGCCCCAAGAATTATATCTCCCTCCTTAAGAATATTTAATATTTTGGCCTGAACCACTTTCAGTGGCGGAGAATTCTGCAGGCTCCCCACTCTCTGGGTGAAGAAGTTTCTCCTCATCTCAGTCCTAAATGGCCTGCCCTGTATCCTTAAACTGTGACCCCTGGTTCAGGACTCCCCAGTCAACAGGAACATTCTTCCTGCATTTACCCTGTCTGGTCTTGTTAGAATTTTGTAGGTTCCTGAGATCACCCCTCATTCTTCTAAACTCCAGTGAATATAGTCCCGACCAATCCAGTCTCTCACGATACATCAGTCCTACCATCCCAGGAATCAATCCCATAAACCTTCACCGTGAGTTCATAATTAATTCTAAGAGAATGCTGGCTGCTAGATTTCTGGGACGCCCTTCTCACGTACTCTGGTAATCTAGTGCTCCTCATGTGCCATTTCTTCTTCTTCCATAATCTCACTTCACAACAATAATTAGTGTTTAGATTCTACAGCTATGCAAGATGTTTCAAGTAAAACAACTTGAACACTTCCACCAAGCTGCAGTTTGTAAAGACAGGTGTAAAAATGTAACAAGGGCATACAGATAGGGAATGATCCGTGTTCCGAGCTAGTTGATCTTGGCTATAGTACCAACAGTCTGTGGTCTAGGAACGCCAAATTCAGATTGCTACCCAATGACACATGCTGGGAAGTGCATTTGGATGGATGTCGGATCAGAGCAGGGTCAGCTTGTTATGCTGCCAGAATCAAATCCTCTGCTACACCATCAAGGCCCATAGCTGAAGGTGGCCCATAGCTGAATGCAGCCCTTGCCTGTGGGATTATACCTTGGTAAAAGTTAAGTACCTTCTGCAGTGAAATAGAAATGGTCAAAATTGACAGAAAATGCAGTATTAACTATTACATGGTGGGTTGGGTCGTAACAATCTTCTGCCATGGTTAAAAGTTAAAAGAGCTACAAACTTTGGCTTCGACATCCCCAGTAAATAACCTTTTGTTTTTGTGTTGTGCAGACATCAAACACATTTGCAGTGTGCACAAAACATCGCGGAATACTTCTGCAAGCAAACAACGACAAAGATATGTATGATTGGTTGTATGCTTTCAATCCACTGTTGGCTGGTTCAATCAGGTAAACAATTTATTTATATTTCAGTAAAACTTGCCCTCGTTCTTATTCTTACCCTAAATATCCTGGTTTCTCTATCCCATCATTAAAAGCAAATCAAGTGAACACATTTTCAATTTAATTGGTAAATGATACTTGGGAGGTAGTATAATCAAGTCAAATTAATAACCAGCTGTTTTGCTGCTGCTTGGTAATCTTATGGTGCAGTGGTAGTGTCCCTACCCCTGGACTGGGAAGTCTGAGTTCAGGTCCCACCTACTCCAGAGGTGTGTAATAACCACGTTGGACAGGTTGATTGGAAAAATAGGTTAAATAAAATAATTTTGCCAAAGTATTATAACATGAGTTCTGAATTCTCTCTCCATTCTACACTGCGTGTGACATGAGAGCCATGATGCTGAAGTTGATAATGTCACATTGCCACAGGAAAAGCATTCTTGTAAATGTCACCAAAAATACAAACCTGGTTTGATCTACTTTGTGATTAAAGAGAGATTAAAAATTCCAATACAGTACTTTTCAATTATTTCTTTCAGCCATGTCATTTACTTTTACTTTTTTTGGATAATTGCATGCTCTCAGATTTCCAGACACTGCTTTGGAACTCCCTCCCTAAATCTCTCCAAACCTCTTCCTTTCTCCTTTAAAGCCATCTGTTTGATCAGAAATGCACATACCCATTAGCAGGGGCCTGTTCTCTGCAGGATCAAGGATCTATGCAGGCTTTGGGCCTGTTTTGAATTAAACAAAAGCCTCCAGGTTAGATTCCTGGTGCGTTTGCCGTGGTGACATTTTGACCAGTCAGTGTTCACTTGCCAAATAATCAGCACTCTGCTCCCAGCACTCTTTGAAATTTGGCATTCTTGTCACTGACCTGAAGAGTGCAAGATGAAAGTCTCTTTTTTTTTCAGCAATGCTGAATTTTGTACTCCTTATTGATGAATCTTTATTTGAGGAGCTGGTGGAAATGTTGCTCGGCTAGGCATCCAGAGACCCAAGCTAGTGCTGGTGGAACTTAAAATCAATAAATAAATCTGGAAGTATAAAGCTGATCTCTGTGATGGTGATTGTGAAGCTGTTACTGATTGGTGTAAACAACCATCTGGTTCACTAATGGCCTTTTAGGGAAGGAAATCTGATGTCCTTACCCTATTTGGCATACATGTGAGTCCAGACTCTCAGCAGTGTGGTTGACTCTGACTGACTGAGTGAGTTACTCAGTTCAAGGGCAACTAGGGATGGGAAACAAGTGTTGAACTTGTCAGTGATACTCCTATTCCATGAAAGAATAAAAAAAAGTCATTCATAATGATATCATGCTTCATTTTTTGTGCATAGTTTATTATTTAAAACATATTTGGCTTGTTCTGATATTTGTTTACTGCTCCTGTGGTACACTGTGGGTGGTTTATAACTACGTAGTATTTTTATAATGATATAGATTGATGTTTTCACAAATTCATGCCCTCTTTTCAAATTTTGTTTTTGCTTTCTTTAGGTCAAAACTTGCTAGGAGACGTTCAAGGCAACAAATGATGTAAAAGAATATCTTTCACCGAAGGCAAGAAATGAAGTAACAATTCTGACTTGCCTTACCACCATAGAAGAGTTGCTCTTAACCTTTTGTGATTCTTGACGGTTTCTCACGTACACATGGCTTAACACTCTCTCTAAGCACCTTTTCTTTTCCTAGTTACCAAAATACTGCTGTTTCTTTACATCCATTCCAGATCTCGTAGAAGCATGTTGTAAAATAGTTGTGTGTGCACGATTCTCAACACTTTTTTCCATTCCTGCTTTCTTCTTGTGTCTGTAGGATGTCCTTGTCTGTGTTTCCAGTCAAACTGTATCCTTTAATTTGCAAACCATGGGGTAATTGCAACTGGCCCTTGGGCCCAGTAGCTGCAAGATAAGGTGGAAAAGAGAAGTTCAGGCTCTTCCTCCAATAGGTGACAGGCTAGGTACCTTCAGGAATACATTATGTTCTGGAATATCACGTGTGGTGATCTCCAGCATTCTAGAACGTCACAGCTGCCAGGCCATTTTAGACTGAACGTTTTTGTTGATTGCAGCAGTTGCAGACTTTGCTAGATTGTTAAGTGTGGATTGGTGACATTAGGGTGAAGCCCCACTCTGAGGAAGTGCAGTCCTACTACATAGTAGGAAAACTAGTTGATCTTGAAAGCTGACCCGCTCACAGTAGTAGATTAATTAGTAGCAAGAAGACAATAGCCTGACTTTGCTGCTATTGTAAACACACACTGCAATGGTTGGGCCGTCTCTTTTCCTATATCTGTCTATCTTCTACGTGCATGCATATCCAGAAGGCTACATCTGCCCGAGGTTGTTCCTCCTCACCTTGGTGAAAAGCAGATAATAGCAGACGTTTGCAAATTGCTTTCCAGACTTCCAACAATGCACATGTTACTCACTTGCAAGCGACAGAGCAAGATACCTAAATACTTTCTTGCAGTATAATCATCATTAATCAGCATCAGTATCCTAGAAAACTGACTCAAGGTCAAGTAATTCTACGTCACTGCTGTGCAGATGGAGAGCTCAAAGTACTCTACAAATCCTGCACCATGCTGTATTCTTGAATATGACCACTTGCATTAGAAATAAATTTGCCGACTAATCCTTTTATGCTGTGATCAGGCACTTGCTGACACTTTTTAATTGCTGGCCTCTAACCACCAGATAATCTGCAGCTAAAGTTGCAATCTCAAAACAAGGTGCAATTTAGAAAGTAGCAAAAGATTAATAAGACTCTGTTAAAGTTGTGGACCAGTATTCACACTTGTGACTGTACCAGTGAATTTACTGCAGCATTTAAGGTACAGATGTTGAGGCAATCCCCTCAACATCTCATCATGAGATCATCTGTAGCATATTTCAGTCTCGACTATTAGCCAAGTGTAAATTTGGCACAAGGGACTAGGATTTCATTCCTTGTTATTCCTCTGAATGATTTTCAGTTTTTGCAATCCATTTTGTATCTTGACTGTCACCAATGCATCCCTAAAAGGGTGACTGCTAAAACATCCTTTGCCAAATGCTTTGTCCCTTCCACCAAACAAGGTATATAACACAGGCTGACTGCAGCCCTGTTTACAGACAATTGCATGTCAGTATTTCTCAGTAGTTTTGAGTTGAAGATGTCAACCGATAGCCAAAATAAATTACACAAATTTGTATAACTGTAGGATGATTAGATTCTGTGGAGGGAAAACACCGTAGAACATGATGACATGCAAACTATTTATTAGAAAAAAGTTAACATGTTTAGGATATGATTGGCAATCACTTAGCATTTTGCCAGACTTGGATTATAGGAAAAACAGTCAATAGTGTTATCCTTGATCTGTTCCATCTGGCCCAACAGGATAATATAGGCTTCCCTGGGCATCTCCAAAGACCATTGTTCATTATAGGGCTTTTCCCTTCTAGTTGTTTACATGTTGCTGCAGAGGAAACATGTACTTCTAATGCATTGTAGCTGCATTCTAATGTGTGTCATGAAAACACTTTTCCACTAATACTGAACAAAAATGGAGTATAATCGTACAATGCACATAGACCTTGCATGGTCACATGCAGTAGTAATTATATCACATTTAGCCAACCAGCACAGGCAACTTAGCATTGCTACAGATTTATTTTTACAGTATATATGCACTTTTTTCTTATCAATAACTGTTGACCATGATCTGCAGAAGTAGAGCTTGATCAAAAGGGATCCTAATGGAGGTTATCTACTGGATATTCTTGCAGTTTGTCCACTGAATGGTTACCAGGAAACTTTAAGCTACTTTATGTGCTAATCAGTGCTTATGTGTGAAGTGGTGATACATGGGATATTAATAATATAATGGGATAGAGAAACATATTGCTTGAATTGTTTACAACAGGAGTTACCAGAATGTAAGCTGCCTTGGCACATCAAAAGTAAGAATTTCTCTGGTAATATTTGATTAGTGTACTGTTTACAATTTTGTTTTATTGCCGAAGGAATTGTGCTCTGAAATGAGAGGGGAAAAATCTAATCTTTGCTTTGAACAACTGAAGTCAAACAAATTAAACAGCAGAAATCAGAGTTTCTATCTTTTGTAAACATCCTATTTCCTAAATTCATAACATCATTTGTTCTGTCCTCACCAGATTTTTGTTTCAAAATTAAATTTGTACAAAAGGATCCAAGTGCTTTTGAAAGGAACATTGAAACGTGCTGCAGATTTTAAAGTAAATGCATGCCATTTGTACATGAGGTTTTTCTAATTTGAGTCTATAAACTTGTATTTCATCTCATGCTTTCGTAATATAGAATTGAATGGAATTGGATATAACCACAAACCTAGGAAATCAAATAACAAACCACACTGATCAAATACATAGATTCTTCTGGATAAAACTGTTGATGATTAATATATTTTATTCTTCCGTGTATTTTTAAAAATGTTAGCTTAAGAGAAAGACATTTTAAAGAATGGAGGTTTGACTGGGGCTAGCAAACCTACAGATCATGGCCTGCACTGACGTGATAGTGGAAGTACCCAAGACTGATTAAATGTATAAGTTCGTAGCATTAAGAGTCCAGTGTTTTAGGTTACAAGCATATGGTATGCATAATGTAGGCAATCACACTACAGATTATTTATTGTTAATGGACTATATAGTATAGTATTTTTGCTAAAACCTAATTTGGTTATATTTTATCATGTGAATGGAATTAAACTATATTCAAGCTTTGGATCAGTTTTGTTATTAAATTTCTGAAGTATGAAAGCTGAAGCTAAATTAAAAGCTGGTAGTTTTTCCTGAGTCAGTATGTGACTTCCAACATCTGAAGAACCTACCATTATTTATTACTGGCAATTGTAATGAAGTTTGAAGGTACAGTCTTTAGCAACGAAAGTGAATGTATGTTGTATTGCAATAAGTCAGGTTAAAAAAGTATACTTGGTGGAACCACTATGTGCCTGAAGTCAGCCAACTTGCAGAGCACATGATGGGATGCATCATGCCAGAGGCCAGGCAACCTCTAGAGCATGGATAATATGAAAAGTATTTGTTTGATTGGATTGAATATGGTTTATATTAGTCAGCTAATGTTTCAATGTCTGAAAAATAAGACTAGTCATTTTATCCACCAGATATTTTGAAATCATTACAGTGTATTTAAACTGGCTACCGGATAGTCTGAATAGTCCCATATCCTTAGATGAAGTTATGAATGAAGGATGCTGTGGAAGTAAGCTCAATGTCTTTACTTTCCACATTGGATACCAAGTTCACACATCTTGCACTTTTAACATAATGTTTCCAGCTACTTCTCAATGTAAGCACTGTATACCTTTAAATCCCAAACTAATATTAGGCAAATCTCTTCTTCCGAACATCGTGAACTGTTTAGGATAAGGACTAATTGAATAATAGTTTCATTTAAAATATAAATTATAATCCGATGACTGAATTGATTCATTTTTAAAGTAACTATTTAAGTCTGAAAATATAGAAGAAGTAAAATCGATCATTTTCTAAAATCTTAAAGCCTTTTCAGGAGGCTGAAACAAATCTTAACGTATAAAACCACACAAAAACGTAATTAATTCTGCCTCGTGAGTTGGATGTCTCTACAATTAGAAATTATGTTCAAATTTTTATAAACTTTTTTTTTTGCTCATTAACTTACCTGGGTCGCCAAATTTATCAACCCATCAGTAAATCAGATTTGTCAAATGAAGGACACTGTTGTGACAGAGCATGATCAGAAATCACACGACACCAGGTTATAGTCCAACAGGTTTATTTGAAAACACAAGCTTTTGGAGCCCCAGTCCTGACTGAGGCTCCGAAAGTTTGAGATTTCAAATAACCTGGTGTCGTGTGATTTCTGACCTTGTCCACCCAAGTCCAACACCAGCACCTCCACAAAGTGATAGAGCATATTTAACAAAAATACTTGGCCTTTCATACGTGAAAGGAAATCGAGGTGGATGTGTGAATATCCGTTCACCTGACTAAGTCTAACACAGAACAGGCATTGTGAGAGTGCTTTATTACTGATGTGTTGAAGTCTGGTAAATGCAAGCACATGCATTTCATTATTGCCATTTTCCTAACTCTGACACAGTGAGCCCAGTTTCCACAAAGGCCAGTAATCTGTTCACTTGTTCAACGTACATCAAAGCAAAGATTCTGCCGATAGCCCCCTCTCATTTCTAGCTTTTTAGCTGGTGCATGATAAATGCACTATTTATTTTGTACAAATTGTTTGCAGTAAGTTGCACACCTTTTTAAGAAGTAATTTTTAGGAAAACATTGAAAATTGCTGTGGGTCATTGTGTAGGTTTTTTTCTTTGCTTAAGAGCCCTTACGCCAATACTGCACATTGAGATATAAAACATAGGGCCACTTTTATTTGAGAGAGACTGTACACCTCTTTAAAGAAGGTAAAGAGTTCACAGTAAAGTTGCGACATTTGAACAATTGGATTTTGTTTCTCAGAATTATCAAGGCTGCAAATTAGTATTGTACTCTGATTGTTCTTGGAGCATTTTGCATGAGAATTTGAAAATGGTAAAACTAATGGTCAAATCTACACCATGTTACATAATTTTATGCTGGGATTGAATTATTTTGTAAGTTTGATTGTATGAAGACCTTGTACATAAATTGAGTTATACCGTCTCCCTCAAACAATGAGTGCCATGGAAGGGAAAGATACCATAGCTGCTGTTCATAGATTTACTGAATGTGCTGGTAATCAGGAACTTACCTGTGTTTTTCTAATTTTAATTTTGTCTGTGGCTGGTCAACCACAATCCATTGTAGTTTAAAGATTGTTTTAGTTGGGAATCATTTATAGTGCTTCCTATCAACGCCAGGCCCTTCAGAGGAGTGCATCAACACTGTACATTATTTATTATATTTTGTCAGGGTGGCTACACATTCATAATTTTTATTTTGTAAATATGTGTTGAACCAAGCTTAAGGTATAAAGACTTAATGTAAATATTTCATTTATTTGTACTAATTATAATCCATTCGCTGTATAGCATAGATGTGTAATGCAGATAACTAACTGTGTATGGTAACCTGCACCACTGAACTGTTTAGTGAATGAGGTAACAATAAAGGTACAACCAGTGCAGAAGCAAAAGAAACATGTCGTCTTTTTATTGCTACTCCCTATAGGACTTTTTTAACGCGTTTGTGGGATGTGGTCGTCGCTGGCCGGGCCAGCATTTATTGCCCATCCCTAGTCACCCCTGAAAAAGTGGTGGTGAGCTACTGCCTTGAACCGCTACTGTTCATGTCCAGTGGGTTGACCCACAATGCCATTAGGGAGGGAATTTCAGGATTTTGACCCAGCAACAGTGAAGGAATGGTAATATATTTCCAAGTTCTGTAAGACAAAGTAGGACAGTAAGTATTTTCAAGTAATATTCATTTCAGTTGGTAAAATAAGTTACATTTACATTATGTTTGTATGATCCTTAAATTGTCGCTGTACGCTTCAAAACCAGCAGGTTACTTTTTGAAGTGTGTGGGACTGGAAAAGCACATACCAAAATCCCACAAACAGCTTAAAAAAAAAGGAAAAACCTCTTCCAGAGGTTTTAACTATTGATTGAAGAGTCTCTGGGTCAAAATCCTGGAATTCCCTCCCTGATGGTATTGTGGGTATATCTACACCAAATTGACTGCAGTGGTTCAAGAAGGCAGCTTGCCGTCAGCTTCTCAGCAATGGGTGGACAACAAATGCTGGTTCAAACAGCAACTCCCTCATCCCGTGAGCGAATTTGGATGATGCTTTCCAGATACTCTTGAGAACTGCTGCTCTTCCAAAAAACAAGCTGAGGGATTTTCTATTAACACCTGATGAACTTCCACTTAACACCTCACTTGAAAGATGGTGTTTTGGGCACTCCCTCTATCACACTGCTGCATCAGTTTACCTGATGACATAGGATCATAGAATCCCTACAGTGCAGAAAGAGGCCATTTTGTTCATCAAGTCTGCACTGACTCTCTGCAGAGCATCTCTCCCAGACCCACCGCAAACACCACACCCACCCCAACCCCCAAAAAGTTTCCTTGTAGCTCTGCATTTGTCATGGCTAATCCAACTAGACTGGAACCTATGGGGCAATTTTAGCATGGCCAATGCACCTAACCTGCACATCTCTGGACTGTAGGAGGAAACTGGAGCACCCGGAGGAAACCCACGCAGACACAAAGCGAACGTGCAAACTTCAAGTGCTCAATGTTACTTAAAAAATGGATTTTACAAGCACAGGTGATGTTTAATGGCAGTTTAATTGTAGTGGCACATGGACCTAGATATTGTTCCAGAATGATTCACAACACCTGTAACTAGATTCAAGAATTTCATAAATTGACAGTGTGCCATATCCTTGCCAATTTTGAAATTATTCAATATAGTGTACAAGCTTAATTCTGTTTGGATCAGTTTGATCCACTAATGCCTTTTCCTTTCATCATAATTGTGTTTTAAGCTCTACTTTAAAAATGAAACACACAAGTTAGTCCATTGTAATACTGAGATGATAGAGTGGCCGGAGATATCATTTGGATGAGGATTACCTATTTTGGTAGACATTGCAGATTTTAAACAGTAATTATTCAAAGAATAAGAAGTCCTCATGGTCAATGTTCTTTCAAGCAGCATCACTAAATAGAAATGGATTAACTGGGCCAGAAGAAAAACAGATTGCTGGAGAAACATAGCAGATCTGGCACCACCTGTGGAGAGAGAAACAGACAGAGTTAATGCTTCAGATTGGCCTTTCAGGTTTGCAGGGCACTAATTTCAAAATTGTTAGTAGAATATTGATGAGTGAAATACCTGTCACATTTGTGCACAATATATTGTAGTTGCAAGTAACTAATTGTACTAGAAGCACTTAAGACATTCAAATGCTATTTAAATATTGTTCTACCTTTCTCGTTGGTAGACTTCAAGGACCAGAGGTGTCAGTGATCTTTATGGAGATTCTAGATGAGAGCAGTCTTGCCTGTTGGTCTTTTGGTACATGGACTCTGAGATCTACAGCTCAGATAAAGACCCATCACATACACACTGATCAAAACCAAGTACTTAACTCTTCTAATGACATTTTCCAGTACTTAGTCCATAGTCTTGTGTACCTTGGCATCACAAATTCACATCTATATACTTAGAAGTTATGAAAGTTTCTGTCTCTACCACCCTTACAGGCAGTGAGTTCCATATTCCCACTAGCCACTGGGTGAAAACATTTTCCTCATATCTGTAAGTCTTCTGCCCATTACTTTACATCTGTGGCTCCAAGTCATTGATCTTTCCACCAAGAGCAAACGTTTCTTCTTGTCTACCTTCTCTATGCCCCTCAGTTATACATCTCAATCATGTACCCTTTCAATCTCTTCTGCTCTAAGGAAAACAACCCCAGCCTGTCCAATCTTTCTTCATAACTGAAACTGCACAGCCAAGGCAACATCCTGGTAAATCTCTTCTGCATCCTCTCCAGTGCAATCACATCACTCCTATAACGTGGATTCCAGAACTGCACATAAGGCTGCTGGACTTGAAGGAAACACAGAGATTCGATGTCTTCCAACGTTCCAGCTCGGTCACTGAAAACAGATAAGGTCCTTGAGCTTGTGGACAGAGATGAGATCATCATCCAGGCTGCTATGTCCATGTGTATTGCAGAGTGAAACTAGGGTTCCCCACTTCAATGATCAGTCAATTTGAATAAACGTGATTTTGCACATAACTGGTGAAATGACCATTCACAGTGCGCATTTGAACAATTACATTGGAATGAAGGTATTTGTATGAATGTAAGTTTGTTTGTCAAAGGAACAGCAACCCGAGTGGGGGTTCAGATGAGGGAGATACTCAGCTGGTTTTGGAAGATAGAACATTAGTAAAAGATGAAGGCCACAGAATGAAATGCCATCATCAAATAGTCAAAGTATGGAAAAATGTTAAAAGGCACAAAAATGTCACAGGTAGCATTCATAGTAAGGTACGTGAATTAATGGCACAAACAGAAGCAAATGGTGATGATAGAATTTATCATTACAGATATGTGTCTGCAGAGTGACCAAGGTTGGGAAATTGAATATTCATCATTGAGAACAGGTAGGAAAAGGAGAGGAGCAGTGCTGACGATAAAGGTTGGGCTTGGTACAATAGTGAGGGAATCTTGGATCAGATGAACAAGTTGTAGAATCTGTTTAGGTGGAGCTAAGCAAGGGCAGCAAACATTGATTACCTATAGACAAATCCTACCAAACAGTAATGATAATGCAGAACGTGGTATAAATCAGAATTAGAGCTACAGGTAACCAGGGTAATGCAGCAATTATGAGTGACTTCAAAGTACTTGTAGTCTGGGTAAATATAATAAATACCAATACTGTGGAAGATAACCATCTTGTAAACATTCTAGGAATTTATCTAGATCAGTGTGTTGAGGAACTGACTAGGGAAGAGGCTGCTTCAGATCTAGTATTATGCAAAGAGAAATGGCTAAGTAATACCTTGGCAAAATTCCTTGAGGGAAGAGTGACCATAACATAGTTTCAAATTTGATGAAAAATTCCACCATGTGGTGATGCAAGATGGCGCTGTCACCGGATGACTCCTTGCAAGCTACTACAGCAGATGTAAATCCCAATCCGATACTAGGTTCTTAAAGAAAACTATGATGGCATGGGGATCAAGCTGGCTGTGAAGCTATATTAAAAGTATGACACACAGGCAATTTCTAATATTTAAATAATTAACGAGATTTGCAAGAAATGTCTAATTCTTTTAAGACAAAAACTGAACCAAGAAAGTAAACCAACCATGATTAACAAAGGAAGTTAAATTATTGCATTATATCATAGGAAGAGACTTATACAGTCACGTTAAACAGTAAGCCTTAGGATTTGGCAAAGTTAGCAAAGGAGGACCAAGGAACTTATTAAGAAAGTGAAATTGAAATGTGAATATAAGCTAGCAAGAAACTTGAAAATGGAGTTTCTATATTATGTAAAATAGGGGGAAGGCGATGGCCTAGTGGTGGTATCGCTGGACTGTTAATCCAGAGACCGAGATAATGTTATGGGGACTCTGGTTCGAATCCCGCCATGGCAGATGGTGGAATTTGAATTCAATAAATATCTGGAAGTAAGAGTCTAATGATGACCATGAATCCATTGTCAATTGTCAGGAAAAGCCCATCTAGTTCAGTAATGTCCTCTAGGGAAGGAAACTGCCATCTTGAGCTGGTCTGGCCTACATGTGACTCCAGACCCACAGCAATGTGGTTGACTCTGGGCAATTAGGGATGGGCAATAAATGCAGCCTAGCTAATGACACCCTCATCCCATGAATGAATAAACAAAAAGGAAACAATTAGCAAAGACCAATGTGGATACCACACAGGCAGAGACAGCAATTTATCTTACAATGGCAATCCAGGAAACCACAGAGAATCTAAATAATTGCTTTGTGTCTATCTTCAGGGAGGAAGATGCAAGAAGTTTCCCAGAAATAATAGCTATCCAAAAGACTAGTGAGAAGAGGAACTAAAAAAACATTAGTTTTCTTTTTAGAAAAGGTAGTGCTGGTGAAATCCATGGGACTGAAAGTTAACAAATCTCTGGGACCCAATGATCTATGTCCCAGAATGTTTTAAAAAGTGTCTGTTGAAATTGTGGATGCATTGTTCATTATTTTTTCAAAGTTCTATAGATTTTGGAACAGACCCTGCAGACAGGGTGGTGTCAAATGTAACCTCACCATTTTAAGAAAGGAGAAAGCGAGAGAATAGGGATAACTATAGACCTGATAGAGAGAGAACTGGACAATTAGTAAATAATGATTTGATTGAGTTAGGTGAAGATGGATTTATGAATGGTAAAACACATTTGACAAACCTGGTGAGGTTTTTCAATTATGGCACTAGCAGAGCTGATGAGAGGGAAGCCAGTACAGCTGGGCTTTTGAAAGGTTTCTGCTCTGTTATCAGGAAGTTAAAAAAACAAAAGCACGTGGAATCGAGAGTAATATTTTGGCATGGATTAAGGATCAGTTAAGAGAGAAAACAGAACTTGAATAATTAGGTCATTCAGGTCCACATGATGTGTCCAGTGGCATACAGCAATGATCAGTGCTTGGTGTCAGCTGTTCACAATCTGTATGAATAGGATGTGGAAACGGAGTGTTCATGTTTCCAAGTTTATCACTGTCATAAAACTAGTTGGGAATGTGTTGTAAGGATGTTGCAATGAAACTTCAAACGGATTTAGATAATGTGACTCAATGGGCAAGAACAAGGCTGATGGAATACACTGGATAAGTATGAAGATATGCAAGTGCAGAGTTTTCCTTTAAGGAATTAGGAAATATTGACAGTCACTGAAAACTAATACGTAGGTGTAGAATGCAAATTGAAAGGCAAATCACATTGGCATTTATTGCAAGAAAATTATTAGAGCTTTTTGAGAAATTATGGATGTACTGATTATAAATTTGCAGAAGGCATTTGATACGCTTCCACATCAAAAGTTATTACAGAAAATAAAAGCTCTTTGGTGTATGGATACACATTGGAATGAAGAGGAAATAATAGGCATTATTAGTCATTTTCTGATTGGCAAGATGTGCCACAGGGCTTTGTGCATTTTACAATTTGTATACGTGACTTGAATGAAGGAACCATAACAATGTTGCTAAATTTGCCAATATCACAAAGATAGATAAGGGAGTAACTTGTGAAGACGATACAATGAGGTTACAAACGGATGTGGGTTAGGTGAGTGGGCAAGGATCTGACAAATGGAGTATTGTGTGGGAAAATGTAAAAATGTTGATTTGCCAGGAACAGTGAAAGAGCATATTATCAAAATGGTGAGATAGTACAGAGCTTGGAGATGCAGAGAGATCTGGGTGTCTTAGTGTATTAATCACAAAAGGTACAGCAAGTAATTAGGTAAGCTAAAGATGCCATTATCACAAGGATAACTGAATGTAAAAGTACGGAGATCATGGAGAGCATTGGTGAGACCATGTCTGGAATACTGTGCATTGCCACCTTATTTAATGAAGGTAGTAAATACATAGGGAGCAATTCAGAGAAGGTTTTCTGGCCTAATACTTGGAATGGGGCAGGAGTGATAAGGAAAGGTTGGACAGGCTAGGATTGTATCCGCTGGAGGTTTGAAATGCAAGAGGTTACTTGATTTAATCATAAAATCTTGAAGGGTCTTTATAGGGTAGATATGAAGAGGGGCGGCACGGTAGCACAGTGCTTAGCACTGCTGCCTTACAGTGCCAGGAACCCGGGTTCAATTCCAGCCTCAGGCGACTGTCTGTGTGGAGTGTGAAAATTCTCCCCGTGTCTGCGTGGGTTTCTTCTGGGTGCTCTGGTTTCCGCTCACAGTCTAAAGATGTGTAGGCTAGGTGGATTGGCTGTGCTAAATTGCCCGTAGTGTTCAGAGATGTGTAGATTAGGTTGGTTATAGAGCAATGGGTCTGGGTGGGATGCTGTGAGGTTCAGTGAAGACTAGTTGGGCCGAAGGGCCTGTTTCCACACTGTCGGGGTTCTATGGATTCTATGATACTTGCTCTTCTAGGAGAATCTAGAACAAGGGGTCACTTAAAAAAGTTAGGGTTTTTGGTATGCTGAATGGAAAAGCAATGGACACAGAGTCTTTTCAATGTATTTAAGGTGGAGATAGAAAGTTTCTTGATGAGCAAGGGGGTGAGAGGTTACTGGGGGGTAGGTGGGCATAGGGAGTATTCAGGCCAGCTGTGTTCTTATTGAATGGCGGACCAGGCTCAAGGAGGCAGAGCGACCTGCTCCAGTTCCAAATGTGCTCAATTTCTGCTCTACAGGAAAAACAGAAAGTGTGGGAGAAACTCAGCAAGGCTGGCAGCAACTGTGGTGAGAGAAACAGAGTTAATGTTCTGAGTGCAGTGATCTTATAGGTTTTGTTCTTTTCAAAGTGCTGTTCGACTCCAACCCACAACATCAGTGGGAAATAAAACAAAGAGACTGGGAGTGGGGGAAGATCTGAAACTGATAACAGAAATTGCTGGGGAAACTCTGCAGGTCTGGCAGCGTTTTGGAGAAAGAAGGAGTTAACATTTAAGGCCCAGTGACCCTTCTGCAGAGTTCCCTTTGGTTCTTTCAAAGTTTTTGTCATGGAATTAGACTCGAGGAGAAATCAGCTGGCTGGAGATCGTGTCAGTTTCAATTTGAGTTTGGATATTACATCAAACAAGACCCCAAATGCGATAATATAAAATAAAGAACTGCACGTGCTGGAGATCTGAAACAAAATACAGAATTTGCTGGAGAAACTCAGTGCCTCTGGCAGCATCTGTGGAGTGAAAGCAATTAACATTTCGGGTCCAGTGACCCTTCTTCAGAATTAACATTTGGCAGAATTTGTTATGAAATGCTTGGCAAAATTGAACCAAAATGCAGTCTCTGAACTGATCAATGCGAAAAAGTGCCCAGCAGGAGTGATCAAGCAAAGCAATGGTTGGACTGGGTACGGGGGGAGGAGGAATGACTTTTCCAAACATCCCAGCTGGCTAGTTTATATCAAAATGCAATCTCACTGACCAAACAAGAATCAAGGTGGATATCCAAGGAATGTAGGGGTTCCTGAAGCAGCTGAGATTGGCAAATGTATAAGCAGGTAGTAACTTGGCCAATTATATGGTCCCTGGATTTATCAATGTGCCATGTTTAGTATTGGTAGAGATATTCTTATTCATGGTGTTGAGCAGCCCATTGAGAGATCTGGAATAAAAACAGAAATTGCTCGGTCCAGTGGGAACTGGGGAGGAGAGAGAGAGAGAGAAACAGATTGAGGGGGTTGGGACTTCCCCTGTGGGGATCTGGACACCACCATCAGGTTTACATGAAGTTCAAAGACCTGCACTCTTAGGGAAACAATCCCTCAGTTTGGGTGGGCTCTCAAACTGCAAGGGACAATAAGAGGGCCCCAGCTTGGAATATGCAGAACAGTATATTTGGAATTAATTACAGGAGAAGGTGCCAAAGGTGATGGAGACTTATCTACAACGTCAATAAAAAACTTAAAACAAAATGTGCCCTGTCACATCACTCCACAGGGTGACTTGTGCTAGGGTAAATCCAGGCAGACTGTGAGGTCCTCAAAACCTGGCTGGAGCCTAGCTCACCAGCCTGCTGCCAGGAAGTTACCTCCATACAACTACACTGTTACCTTTCTGATGGCCGAATGGAACTGAAAATCCTCATGTGGCCATTAACTATCTGAATTCATCCCCATACCTCTCTACTCCCCACCCATCCCCAACAGGGGCCAATTGTCTGGATGTAGCATGAAGCTGAGGAACTGGCTAGCTGGGGTCGAAATCCTAACTCACTTGCCTTGATACCCAACCCCCTACCGACCCTCAAAAGTTTCGTGTAATGTTTCAGGTTGATGACCTTTCATCAGAGCATGACAAATCTGGCCCTAGCTGATCCCTACAGATTGACATCAAAGAGGCCTGTTCTCATTGGCTAGGAAAATCTGCCCTGTCCATAACTGAACCAACAAACTAGACAGATGTACCCTATTTCCTGCTCTTACTGTGGTCAGGGGAAATGGGAGGGATTGGTACTGAGCAGTCCTGTAATGAAGCAGGAGGCCAAAAGTCTTGCAAAGATGTGGGATTTCCCTTTAGGAATTGCAAGATTAATTTTTGACAATGTCATTTCCTCCTATCCATTCATAATCAATGGCCAGGGATAGACTGTGGGGGGAGTCTCCACCTGTGAGTTTAAGCTGCCCGGAAGCACATTGTTGGACCAGTTCTGAAGGGTCACTAGACTCGAAACATTAACTCTCGCTCTCTCTCCACCGATTCTGCCAGGCCTGCTGAGTTTCTCCGGTTGTTTCTGTTTTATGTTTCAAGATTTCCACATCCGCAGTTTTTTTATTTTATCGCAGCACTGAGCTGGAGCCTGAATGTCCCCACCCACATGCCATGCACACACTCCCTCTCTGGTTGCTAAGCTCTGCCCCTGCTCAAAGTGTTAAGTCATGTTGACTTGCAAGAAACTGATGCTGGCTTAAGCCCAGGCGAGTCACCCCAGAAAATCAAGGGGCTGAGTGAGGACAGGCTTGATCGCCTGTTCCTGGGACTGACCGCTTCCGACAGCCCCAAGGCCCGGGGCTCTCGGTTTGCAGAGGCCAGTGATCGCCTGCTTCCCAACGCCGGCGTGAAGATGGAGCCGCGCAGCTTCCGGGTGCCTGTGATTGATAGGCGGGTCGTCCAATCATAGCGCGCCTCCCCGTAGAACGCGTTGTATCAATCTCACGGCTGTCCAATAGAAGTGTAGAGGGGCGGGATCTGAGCGCTGAAATGTAACAAACCCGCAGCAGCAAGTGCCCAGAGACTCGAGATTGCACCATGGCTGAGTGAGTATATCTCTCAGGGTGGGCAGGGATTGTCTCTACTGCATCGATTCTTGTAAAATAACCATCGTATTTAATGCTCTAAAATAATTTGTATCCATCAGCGGATTTCAAGCATTTTTCTTTCAGATTTCTGGCAGTATCTCACTCTTGTGTTGCTTATTTTCAATGTTTTTAATATTTGCTTCCTTGTCTAAATTCGTTCTGATTTCTTTCCCTAAGTGATTATATGCTTTTGAGTCCAGAGTTAGTTAAAGAGCTTGCTCACTTGAATCTGGACGATTTTCTCTTCCGTCTCTCCCTTTTTTAAATATCTCTTTCCTTGATTGCTCTGTGGGCTTTCGAGCTAGCTGTCCTTTCCCAGGTTAGAGACGAGGATATTAACGATCTCCTAGGCCTCCCAGCTCTTGCACAAGCTGCTAGGAGGAGCGTTCCCTCACCAGACATCCTATTAGAGTGATGTGCTGTCCTTGCAATGCAGGCTCCCCAGGATGCTGCTGGTTGGCTGGGAGGGAGGGAGGGACTATAGTTACAAAGAGTGATTTGTGATCTTGGAGTTCTCTCTGCTGAAGCAGTGACTTTTAGAGGAGATAGAATAGTCTCTTTCCCTGATTTAAGGGTTTAAACCAAATGGCTTGGGGAGCTAGTGAAATGTAGTCATTAAGTAAAAAGTGAAGAGAGAGAAAAGGTTACGCAGGTTGGTGGAATGCCCTGGTTCAGGTAATAGAATTTTGCATCTTTTATGGAAAAATGGACTAAATATTTGAAATGGTGTAGGATACATTGGAGTGAGAACAGGGCCATGAGAATAGAGTCATACAGCACAGAAACAGACCCTTCAGTCCATGCTGAACATTATACCAAACTAAACTGGTCCTACCTGCCTGCTTCTGGCCCATATCGCTCCAAATGTTTCTGATTCATGTACTTGCCAAGTGTCTTTTAAATGATGTAATTGTACCAGCATCCACAACTTCTTGGGAAGTTCATTCCACATGCAAACCACCTTCTGCGTAAAAGAAAAACTTGCCCCTTGTGTCTTTTTTTAAATCTCTGTCCTCACACCTTCAAAATGTGTCCCCTAGGTTTGAAATCACCCATCCTAGGGAAAAGATAACTCCTATTAATCCTGTCATGATCTTATAAACCTCTATCAGGTCATCTCTTAACCTTCCAAGCTCCAGTGACAAAGTCCCAGCCCATCCAGCCTTTCTTTATAACTCAAACCTTCCATACCCAGCAACATCCTGGTTAAGAGATAGCAAGAACTGCAGATGCTGGAGTCAGAGATACAGCTGGAGAGACACAGCAGGCCAGGCAGCATCAGAGGAACAGGGAAGCTGGCATTTCAGGTTGGGACCCTGCTTCAGAAAATTTTCTCCAAAAGTTATCTCCAACATCCTGGTTAATCTCTTCTGAACCCTCTCCAGTTTAATCGTTTGTTTGGAAAGAGACACAAAGGGTTGGGCAACCTTTAGTGCTGTTAATGCCCCTAGATCTGCTGCCCTCACCTTTCTGTTGACAGGAGTCCCGTGTGTGGGGGAAGTGATAATATTTGGCAGTGTAGAAGGAAGCCAACCAACCAGTCAATACTTTCCTTGTTTCCCTTTCCCCAACCCTTTCAAGCTATTGACCGGTGAAATTGGCTCTTTCTGATGTCATTGAATTGTCCCTGAAGTTTTGGAAAAGCTTTTCGGAGTTTTTCCTGGCCACCTATGAGCCAATGAGAAGAACACTCTATTTTCTCCTCCCTAGTAGAAGCCTCACGTCCCTGATTTCCTTCAGGGGTTGGTGGTGGGGGAGAGGACAGGGAGGGTCATTGCTCGCAATCTATGTGGGGAGGTGATGGCCTAGTGGTATTGTTGTTAGATTATTAATCCAGGGACCCGGGTGATGTTCTGATGACCTGGATTCAAATCCCACCTTGGCAGTTGTTGGAACTAGAATTCTATGAAAATCTGAAATTAAGAGTTTAACAATGACCGTGTTGATGATTGTGAGGGAAACCCATCTGCTTCAGTAATGTCTTTTAAGGCAGGAAATCCACTGTCCTACCTGGACTGATCTACACGTCGCTGCAGACCCACAGCAATGTGGTTGCCTCTTTACTGGTTTCTGGGCAATTAGGGATTGGTAGGTTCTAGCCAGTGAAGCCCACACTATGTGATTTTTTTTTTAAAAGGCATATCACAACAATTTGCTTGAAAGACAGGAAACTCAAGTGGTTGTTGTGATAACAAAAACAAAGTTGCTGGAAAAGCTCAGCAGGTGTGGCAGCGGGTGTGGCAGCATCTGTGAAGGAGAAAACAGAGTTAACGTTTCGGGTCCAGTGACAGTTCTGAGGAAGGGTCACCAGACCCAAAACATTAACTCTTTTTTCTCCTTCACAGATGCTGCCAGACCTGCTGAGCTTTTCCAGCAAATTTGTTTTTGTTATCACAACAACCGCTTGAGTTTCCTGTCTTTCAAGCAAATTCCAAATGTAATCGCTATTTTGGCTTCCACTACATGTTGCAGTGTATAGAACATCTCTTGAAATTTGGTGCGGCCAAGCGGTCTAAAGTGTTGAATTTAAGCTCTCGATCCTATGTAGGGGTTATGTGGAGCAGTGGTAGTGACCCTATCTCTGGGGCAACAGATGAGACCTAACAACCATTCCGATCAGGTTGATTGAAATAACTAACAAGGGATTTGTTAATATCCTGAACTTTTCCTTAGAGTATTTGAGCACATGGATGTGTTGTAACTATAGGGTGACTAAAGCCCCACCTGCTCCAGAGGTATGTAATAACATCTCTGAACAGGTTGATTAGAAAATATGTATAGAATATCTCTTAAAGTGAATAAAAGTCAGTTTTAAAAGGTTAACCAGTTACATAAAGTCTGAGCAATCCACAGAACTCATTGCTAATATTCATTTGTAAATTGAGAAGTTGGTTATGTCTTTCAGCGAAGAATGTGAGCGATTCGCAGTGAGCCTTTAGGCTTCAGAGGAGCTATTTGTTGTTTTTTGTTGGAAACTGAAACAGTAACAATAATAAAGAAAACAGTGTCCTTAAATCTTTTGCGTCTCTGGTTCAATCTGCCTGCAGGCTGGATAAAAGCAGTTTGTTCTGTCTGGTTCAGGTTTGTGAGTTTGATACTTTGGTGTGTGGATTGATTGATGTATTGGTACAAACATACACTATTGGTAAAATCACTTAGTGAAATATTTCTGGATCTTATGCAAATTATTCATCACTTTTAGATATAGTTTATTCTTTGCCATGATCAGTGTCAAGTTCATATCAATACTTCACATTAATCTTCTTTAAAACAAGAAGCTCTACAGTACGACTACATTTGGAAATTTAACTTTGTGAAAGGCACCAAGAAGTGAAATTATACGGTCTAAACAGGCATTGCATATAAACAATACAAATATGAAATACTGCTGGAAATATGAAATTAAAACCAAAAATGCTGGCAATCAGCTTTTGTAAAAGTCAACAGATTAGTTTTGAGCATTTCTCATAAACTTTTCCTAACTATCCGATGACGACTCTGACTTTAATAAATTAAAATACAAGTTTGAAACTGAGTGTATCGTAGGCACAAGAATGATGGACCGAATGGCTGGCTCTGTCTTTACAATGCTACTCCTTTTTAATTGCAGCATCTCAGTTGCTGATGGGCAGGGTATCAGAGAGCGAATATTGTTTGGATTTGAGTTGACTGCCCAGTGCCCTTGTGGTTTGGATTATATATTTTCTCTTGAACTGTACACGGTACTGCTTTTGCAGAAAGTTGGAAGACCTTTGGTTCCTCATTCTATAGGTGGGATGGAATCAGGAAGTACCAGGTTGTAAGTTTGCTGAATGACTAGAGAGTTATTGCCACATTCTGAGAGCACCATGTGTAAAGTTAAATGCTGTTTTGCAATATTGTTTTTAAGACTTTGCAATACATGGTAAGTTGAAAATTGAATTATCGTCCAATTAGAGGAAGTTGTGCAAACAGGGAAATTAACACGGTTGATAATATTGAAATAGCGTCCTAACCAAACCATGTAACGTCTGTGCCTGAGGATAATGCAATGTAGTTACACAATGTGTCAGCAATCCTTGAGCTGGAAAGAATTTGTGCATCCAAGACTCAAACACTTTATTGCATTTTTTTCCAATGGGCTTTTTCCACCCCTTTTATTTTCTCCATAACCGTGTGGATATGAAATACTCAGAAACACCCAATATGTTGCCCAGTTTGTGGTAACATGGAGAGAGAGTGGACTGAGTCGTTGCTAGATTATTCAATTTGCTGTAGGGTGCATGGTTTCCAGAGAAGGGACATCACAGCCAAGATTGTCACCTAACCTTACAAACAGGAGCCCTGCCTTTAATCATAGAATCATAGAATCATAGTATTCCTACAGTGCAGAAAGGGCCGTTCGGCCCATCTAGTCAGCACTGACCCTCCGAAGAGCGTCCCACCCAAACCCACACCCCTATCCTAGCCTTGTAACCCTGCATTTCCCATGGATAACCCACCTAGCTTGCAGATCCCAGGATACTATAGGCAATTTAGCATGGCGAATCCACCCCAACCTGCACGTCTTTTGGACTGTGGGAGGAAACCGGATCAGCTGGAGGAAACCCACACAGACTCGAGGAGAGTGTGCAAACTCCACACAGACTGATCTTTAAAGTCCATAGAGCCATACGGCACAGAAACAGACCCTTCGGTCCAACTTGCCCGTGCCGACCAGGTTTCCCAAATTATTTCAAAATGATAAACATACCCTTCTTCATCATCAACTCCTTGCCACCATAATCAAAGGAGAGGCTAGAATCATCAGCAAGAGCACGTTCAATGTTGGGTATGTTATACTCAAAGAAAATCGAATTTGCTGCTTCTCCTCTTCAGTGAGTTTTCCTGGAGCAGCTGCTTTAGTTTCAATACATGTGCGTTTCTGAGCCTGAAACCTGATGATCTATTGACTGGGAGTCATGCTGAGTTGTACGTTAACCCACTGGATCAATGGAGAGCCTTTGTTTGATTGTAGTCTTGTAGAAGGATAATGGTAATTTCCATGACTGTTGTTGGAAGTGGCACAGATTCTAATGTGGGTTCTGATTCTGACCCCCATGAGAATTTTTCTTGCATCTGCTGCTCCTGCAATTCTTCTGATTTTCGGGTGTTAATCTAGTAGGGGCTCCCTACAGGGTGAATGTGGAAAGGATGTTTGGGATATCCTAGAACTAGGAGGTCACTGTTTTAAAACAAGGTGTTGCCCTCTCAGACAGAACTGAGGAGGATTATTTTCTCGACTGGGTCTTGTGTCTTTGGAACTGTCTGCCTTGAATGGCAATGATAACTGGAATATTTTTCAGCCAGAGATAAAAGTTGAAGGGTTATCGGGAGTTGATGGGAATGTGGAGTAATCAGATCAGCCATGATCTTATTGAATGGCGGGGCTGAATGGCCTGTTCCTAATTTGTGTGTTTGTACATTGAACAATATTAAGAAATCTAAGTTTGTTTCTGTCTTTCCCACTAGAGCTGATATTGCACTGATTGGATTGGCTGTGATGGGCCAAAACCTGATCTTAAACATGAACGATCATGGTTTTGTGGTAAGTATAACCTGAACAATAATTCTTAGTTTGCCGTGGATGGCATCTGGCTTATGCCCCTTAGTGCCTGCTGCATTCGCTGAAACAACTGTGACTGCGCTTCAAGTGGTATTCATTAAATGGGACATGGAGTCATGCATCTCATGGTCTTGATGAGGGGCTGTAAGATTGAAAGTTGCCTCATTTTCCTGCTCCCACCTTTTCCATCCATATCCGTGTCGCCTAACCAGCTGACCGTGGCTGGGAGGCAGGTCACTGATAACCAGCAGGTAAGTGGGTTGTGCTAATTCTGCGTGTGTTTGGTGATTGGCTGTAGTTTATCTCCCCTGCGCTGTCTCCCTCACAGACAAATTGATAATTGTCAAGTAATGATTATCAATTTGTCTGCAATCTTCCCAAAGCTCGAAAGACTCTGCTTTGTTTCCTTATGTTTTTAAGCTAATAACGTGATTGTCTGGTTGAATTTCTTCGCTTGCAGAAGTGAGGGGAATTGAGCTCAATAAGGGGGCAGTACAGTGGCTCAGTGGTTAGCACAGCTGCCTCACAGCACCAGGGACCCAGGTTCAATTCCACCCTCGGGCGACTGTCTGCACATTCTCTCCGTGTCTGCGTGGGTTTCCTTCGGGTGCTCCAGTTTCCTCCCACAGTCCAGAGATGTGCAGGTTAGGGTGGATTGGCCATGCTAAATTGCCCATAGTGTCTGGGGATGAGCAGGCTAGGTGGGTTAGGCATGGGGAATAGGATAGAATAGGGGTGTGGGTCTGGGTGGGATGCTCTTCAGAGAGTTGATGTGGACTGAATGGCCTGTTTCGACACTGCAGGGTTTCTATAATTCTATGAAGAAACCAATACACAGAAAGCTGGAGAAACTCGGAGGGTCTGGCACCATCTATGGAAAGAGAAACAGAGTTAATGTTTCAAGTCAGTATGCCTCTCTTTCCAAATTTCAGCTGCGCACTTGCAATGCCAAGGCTATAAGCCAAGTGGGTTTAGAACCATAAGGTGCTTGTTGCTGACTGGCACAGACTTGATGAGCCAAAGCTCCTTTTTCTGTCTGTAGACCTATCATGATTCTGGCAGCATTAAGTGGAGAGAGAAACAGTTAACGTTTTGAGTCCAATATGACATTCCAGAACCTTGGAGTCCTACTGGATTTGATGTTAATTCCTCTCTCCAGAGATGTTGCCAATCCTGCTGAGTTTCACCAGCATTTTCTGTGTTTGTTTCAGATCCCCAGCCTCTGCAGCATTTTGCCTTTTATTGGGCTCAATAAGAATGTTGGGTAGGTTTTACTCTGCGCCGAGAGGATTGAACCTTGTTGAAGTAAAATTGCTGCGGATGCTGGAAATAAAATCAATGCCAAGCATGCTGGAGAGACTGTGGAGGGAGAAGTAGTTAATGTTTGGTGTTGGGAGGGCTTCTACTGAGGTCTGACGTCGGAGAAATCCAGCGATACTGAGCTGAAGCTGATGGCTGGTTGGCGATGATATCGGGGCTGTTGACCTGGACATCACCACATTTTCTCTCTCTCATCCCACAACTGCTCCCCTCAGGTTCCTACAAAACTATGTGACAGTAGTGTAGGTTACTCTGTGTGTATGATCTGTGGTGCTGCAGGGTTGCACTGTTTAGCGATGCTGCAGAGTCTGATCGAGAATTGACTTGTCGTTTATGCTGCAGGTCTGCGCCTTCAACAGGACTGTTTCCAAAGTGGACAGCTTCTTGGAAAATGAGGCTAAAGGGACCAAAGTGATTGGTGCCCACAGTCTGGAGGAAATGGTCTGCAAGTTGAAAACCCCTCGGCGCATTGTTCTCCTGGTCAAGGCGGGTCAGGCTGTCGACGATTTCATCCAGAAACTGGTACGCTGCTGGTGGGCATGGGTTGCTGAAGTTTCTGCTGCAAACGCAGGAGTGGAGAAAATGATACACCATAACATTTTACAGGAAGTGTGTGTGTGACACAGAGAGAGTGGGTAACTTTCATCCTGTACAGAAACACACTCCCTTTTCTCCTGCTTGGCTCTTCCCTGTTTGAGGGATTCCCTTTCCCAGGCTATGGCCCCATGGCTGTAAGTGGCTCGTTTTGTTGTCTTCTGAAAGTTCAGGTGCAAACTTCCTGCTCCATGTCGACTTTAGCAGAAACAGACATGTTTCTGAATGAGTAATCCACAACGTGGGTTCAAATCTCACCCCAGCAGCTGGTGGAATTTTAAATTCAATTCATTAATCTGGAATAAAATACTAGATTCATTAGTTATTGTGAAGTAACAGAATTATTTAAAATCCCACCTGGTTCACTAATCGGAGGGAAATCTGCCATCCTTACCTGGTCTGGCTTACATGTGACTCCAGACCTACAGCAATGTGGCTGACTCTGAAATATCCCTAGCAAGGGGCAATTAAGGAAGGGCCGTAGACATCGGCCTTGCTTAAAGGCACCCATATCCGACATAAGAATAAAGAAAGGAAAGAAAACTGAATAACACAATTGATCTGTTTTTCTATCTCTTCTCATCAGGTTCCACTGTTGGAAAAAGGTGACATCATTATTGATGGTGGGAACTCAGAATACAGAGACACAACGGTTAGTATCACAACTCTACACGACAATGATTCTGTTTAAAATAGGGCTTTCTTATCGTGTTCAATTATAGAGTACTGTCTTGGGCAGAGAGTAACTATCGTGCATGGGAGATTAGTCCAGTGGATAAAAATGTAATTCAGGTCTTGCCTCCTGTCTCTGTTGAAAATGCCTGAGCCCTTCTTTGTGAAATTCATAGATAGTAGGAACTGCAGATGCTGGAGAATCTGAGATAACAAGGTGTAGAGCTGGATGAACACAGCAGGCCAAGCAGCATCAGAGGAGCAGGAAGGCTGATGTTTCGGGCCTAGTCCCTTCTTCAGAAATTCGTGTTGACTCTGGTCAAGGCATTGCCTTAAGAAATGAACCAGGGAGTGGCTGCCTATTTTTAGTTGAAACCGACTCAATGCAGGCAGTCAGAGCATATAGATACAAAGAACAGGGCTCTGTGTATTAATATATCCAGCACCCATTGCACATTCTCTATGGCAACACCGCTCCCAGTCAGAGTCCACTTTCCAACTAGTCAGCAGTGCCTTCGTGTACAGTATAAAATGTTGTTTCCCCCTTTATGTTTGGTATTCTTGCAAATTGTCCTGATGAGTGCAAAATGTAAAAGTGTTAAAAATGTATTTTTCGATAATACTCAAACATTTAACATTTCAGTTGAGAGCAATCCCAGGGGTCCATTACTACATGAGAAAAGTTTACAAGATAACCTGTACATTTTTTTTCCATCTTGTAGATTTTTTTTAGATTTTTTGTGTATAGTTTTGTGAGCTCTTATTACTTTTTTAATAAACTTCTCGGAGCTCACAAGCTGTACCATTATTTTGTGGAGGATTTCAATTAACATTTGAATGTCTTTGCAGATTAACTGTGACATAGCCTGAAATACATTTATGCAAGACATCATGGGAACGTCACTAACTACACTTTGTGTCATTTGCTTTAAAATCCCAGAAGCTTCAAAAGTTTTGATAATTATGCTGTTCCTTTGCTTCACTTATAAGCAAAAGGTAATTGTGTTTGTACTTGACTCACTGAGGAAATGTGAACAATATGCCTTTAACTTCCTTTACCCTCCTGATCTGCAGAGGAGATGCAAAGAACTGAAAGCCAAGGGTCTGCTGTTTGTCGGGAGCGGGGTTAGCGGTGGAGAAGATGGAGCACGATATGGACCCTCTCTAATGCCTGGTGGCCACAAAGAAGCTTGGTATGCCCACAGCACGGTAGACCTGATTACTGTAGCTAATCCTACTCCTTTTTTTTTTTGTTAATTCATACAAATGGTATTTCTGAAGTGCTGCTGATGTTTGTGGAAATGAGATCTTGTTAGGAAATTGGGGTAAATTCTGATTGGAGTTGGGCCACAACTTTTTAATTTCCTTTTATTCATTCACGAGATGAGAGCTTCACTGGCTAGGCAGCATTTATTGTCCGTCCCCAATTGCCCAGGGGGCAGTTAAGAGTCAATCACGTTGCTGTGGGTCTGGAATCACATTTAGGCCAGACCAGGTAAGGATGGCAGTTTCCGTTAATGGCCCAGATGGGTTTTTCCAACAATGGATTCATGATCATCATTAGATTCTTTATTCCAGATATTTATTGAATTCAAATTCCACCATCTGCCATGGCGGGATTTGAACCCAGGTCCTCAGAATGTTATCAGAGTCTCTGGCTTAACAGTGCAGCGATAATACCACTAGGCCATCACCTGTCCCACCTGGAGAACTATGTGCAAGTAATTGCTTTAGAGAGAGTGCAGAAAAGACTTACTGGAATGTTGCCAGGACTGGAGATTTGTAATTACGAAGAGAAATCAGAGAGGTTGAGATGGATTCAGAAGGCTGAGGGGTGACATGATTGAGATATACAAAATTGTGAGGGATAAAGATAGACAGGAGGAACCTGTCTCCCTTGGCAGAGATTTCAAAAACTAGGGGTCAGAGAGTCATGCAAAGTGACAAAAGGATTAGAGGAGACGTGAGGAAAACCTTTTTTTACCTAGAGGGTGGTGGGTGTCTGGAATACGCTGCCTGAGCTGGAGGTGGAGGCAAAGACCCTAAACTCATGTAAACAGAATGTACCTGCATCTGCACCTTGAATGCTGTAAACTGCAGGGCTATGGGCTGTGTGAAGGAAGATGGGATTAGAAAGGGCTTCTGAGTGTCTTTGAGTTAGCATGCATAAGATTGGCCAAATGGTCCCTTTCTGTGCTGTATCATGTCTGCCGTTCTAGGGTGGCACGGTGGCTCAGTGGTTAGCACTGCTGCCTCAAAGCACCAGGGACCTGGGTTTGATTCCAGTCTCTGACTGTGTGGAGTTTGCACATTCTCCCTGTGTCTGTGTGGGTTTCCTCTGGGTACTCTGGTTTCCTCCCACAGTCCAAAGATGTGCAGGTTAGGTGGATTGGCCATGGGAAATGCGGGGTTACAGGGGGAGGGATGGGTCTGGGTGGGATGCTCTTTGGAGAGGCACTGTGAGCTTGATGGGCCGAATGGCCTGCTTCCACACTAGGGATTCTGTGGTTCCATGAAACTTTCAGTTTTCCCCAATTTCTTTTGAGATACTGTGGCTGAGAAGCTGGTTCTATGGAAAAGGCCTTCTTTCCCACTCCCTCGTAGGTCATGGAGAGGGGAGGGTACCACCAGCCAGTCCCCTTTTGGCATCTCCAGGGTTGATCATTTGCTGGAGCAGGAGAGAAAATGGCCAGCACAGATTTGGAAAGAAGTGTCTCTTGCCCACAGATGGCTCCCTCCTCGATGAGACCCGATGCCCTTTTATAGTCGCAGCATCTGTGTCCTGGTTTAGCACTGTCTGTGAAAACCTGTTTCACTTCTGGGAGTTCTGAAAGTTAGTCTGTTGTTGGATTGCTCCAAACTGAGAGTTGCGATGCTCTGGCAGGCGTGTGCACTGTCTCTGTAACGCTGCAGGGGGTGCCACTGAGTGCATGCTGGGGGTGGCACCCATCTAACCTGGCTTGATGACAGGGTTGGCTGAGGTGAAATTGCAAGAGTTGGGATGTTGCACTCATCAGGACAATTTGCAAGAACACCAGGGACAGACTAGAAGAAGAAATTGAATAATCACAGAACCTTTGTTGGTTCGAAACAAATAAACTTTCAAAATAGGTTGCTCAGTGGTTAGCACTGCTGCCTCACAGTGCCAGGGACCCAGGTTCGATCCCAGCCTCGGGTGACTGTCTGTGTGGAGTTTACATGTTCTCCCTGTGTCTGCGTGAGTTTCCTCCGGGTGCTCCGGTTTCCTCCCACAGTCCAAAGATGTGCAGGCTAGGTGGATTGGCCGTGCTAAATTGCCCATAATGTTCAGGGATGTATAGATTACGTGGGTAATAGGGGGATGGGCCCGGGTTGGATGCTCTGAGGGTCAGTGTGGATTTGTTGGCCGAGGGGCCTGTTTCCACACTGTAAGGATTCTATGAAAGTAACTACCTTGACTGCCCGACCAAGTGATTTGATTTGTGCGATACATTATTCTGATTGTTACTATCTCTTTAATATAAAACAATGCTTTGGTGTAATGATGGATGAGTGTAATGTTTAACCCACTGACAATGTTCCTCTTTTGTAAGAGGGATGTTGACTGTTTTGTTGTTTCAGATCGTTTCCTTGATGATGGAGTTCAGTGATTTTTGTTAAATTGTTTTGAGTCTGACATTAGCTGTGTGATGCAGTGAGGTGTGAACAGATAAGTTTTGGTTTACTTTGTGTTCCCATCTTCCTTGTACAGGCCGCATATCAAGCCCATTTTCCAGAGCATTGCTGCCAAGGTTGGAACTGGTGAGGCCTGTTGTGACTGGGTGAGTGTCAGTTCAGAAATCGAAGTGTTTGGTAGTAAAGGACTCCAAGTATTGCTGAGAAAAGGTACATTTTGTCAAAAGCTTCTTCTCTTGCACTCACCAGAAAATCCACAAGACCTACCAATGTCACAGGAAATGACATTTACACGGAGAGAGGAGAGTGGTTGTCAGGTGGTGTCTGACTTGGCAGAGTTGATGCCATAAAGAAAGCACCTGTTGGGTAATGACTGACCATTAACTTCCGGCTGCTATACAGTTTAAACCAGGTAGATTGACTTTTATTGGTCAAAGAATTGTCCTGAGAAGGGAACCAGAGAACAACTGTTTCCTGTTTTTGTTACATTGAAGCAGATGCATGTCCTTTCTCTCTGTAAAGGAGAGGGCCCTGTGTTTAATAAACATAGAGAATAGGGGTAGGAGGAGACTATTCGGCCCTTTGAGCCTATTCCACCATTCACTACTGTCATGGCTTCTCATCCAACTCCAGCCAAACACACAAGTGCCCCACACTGAGAGCTGGACTGGCAGTCTTAAAATGTAAACAAAATTTGGCAGTATAACACTTCCTTTCCATTTTTGCACAATATCCTTGAGCTGAGCACTCAACCAGTTATTGTACAAGATAAAATTGTAAATGCTGGATATTTGGTGTCTGGAAGAGTAGTGTTTCAGATTTGGATGTGCCTGATTCAAATATCAGTAAGGAGTTCTCATTCTTACTGATATTTGGTTCATTTTTATTAAATGTGTTATCGTAGCTGTGACACTGAAATAGAACTGGATTTGTAATAATGCTATATAACTTATTAAAGCCTTAGATGTTGAGAAATATTTGACTTATTTTAAAAAGATCATAGAATGCGGACGTTGACCAGCATTTTATTGCCCATCCCTAGTTGCCCCTTGAGAAGGTGGGGCTGATCTGTCTTCTTGAACCGCTGCAGTCCCTGTGCTGTAGGTAGATGCACAATGCCCTGAGGGAGGGAATGTACTTACAGTATCAAAATACCAACTTGTATCATTTTCACTGTCTGGTGGAAGCTCAGATAGAACCTGTGGAATTCACTATCCCCAGAGTGTGGGGGGTGCTGGACATTGATTAAGTTTGAGGAGGAGGTTGAGAGGTTTTTAATTAATAATGGATTATGGAGAGTGAGCAGGAAAGTGGAGTTGAGGCCGAGGTGAAATCACCCGTGATCATTTTAAATGGCGGAGCAGTCTTGAGGGGCTGAAAGGCCTACTCCTGCGACTGGATCTTATGGAACATAATATTGTAAATTTTTTACCATCCTAGTTTCTTCACAGCTGCAGTGTTAGAATGAGAGATCCAAGCGTTGGATGATTTTAAAGTTGGACAATGAGGAAGCTCATGCTGTGCTTACTGTTTTATATTTTTGAATGAGTGTCGGGTTGTAGTTTTGTTTGCTCGGTTTTGCGTTAATTGTGTGGTTCCATCTCGTTACGTCAGAACACTAACCTGTAGCTTTGCGAAACCCAGGTTGAAGTTCTGTGATCTCTGTTTTACCCCTCAGGTAGGTGACGAAGGGGCAGGTCACTTTGTGAAGATGGTGCACAATGGTATCGAGTACGGGGACATGCAGTTAATCTGCGAGGCCTATCAGCTGATGAAGGATATTCTCCAAATGGACCATGATGAAATGGCCAAGGTTAGCACAGTCTGCTTGCAAATATACATCTGATCCATAAAGAGTCAAAGTCACTTGGTTCACACCCCTCTGGATCTCGTGTGTACCTCCCAGAATCTGGAACACTTGGATTTTCTTTCAATGTTCAAATTTTGTCGTCCCTCTGCCATCCAGATAAAAGCTGATTTCTGATTTTTGACCCAGCGTTATTCTGTGTAAATCCATTTCGATGTGAAACATCCATTTCTTCTTGAATGTCCACAGCTATGGAAAATGGCATTTGTTGTCTACTTTTAACCAGTTCAAGTACTTTTAATTTAAAAATCTTTTATTTTCAACATGGCATTTTAGAGATGGAATTGAGTTGGTGGGTGTGGAGCAGATTCCTGATTTTTCTTTTCAGTAAAATCTGCACATTGTTTTATTCCACGTTAGGTATTTGAGGAATGGAACAAGACGGAACTGGATTCATTCCTGATTGAGATCACAGCGAACATCCTTAAATTTCGGGATCCCAATGGGAAGCCACTACTGCCCCAGATCAAAGACTCTGCAGGCCAGAAGGGCACGGGGAAGTGGACGGCTATTTCCTCACTGGAATTCGGAGTGCCAGTCACCCTTATTGGTAAGGAGAGTTGCTTTGAACACTCCCACTTTCGCCAAGATGTGGCACCGATAACTAAGTTTGTGCATCACCGGAGAAAAAATGCACACCATGTCCAAGCTTTTCATCTTGCATTCATCAGGACACTTGCAAGAATACCAAGTTTCAAAGGGAACACCAATTTATACCATATGAGAAGTGGTATGTTTTTAAAGTAACTTTTCTCTGATGCTTTTTCCTTGGCCACATCTCGACCTATCAAAGTTTGCTTGGTGGTCATTCACACCGTCTTTCTCATTGAGTATAAATTGTGTTTCCTTGCGATTTGGTATTCTTGCACCTGTCCTGATGAATGCAAGATGAAAGGTTTTCGCTTTGTCTCTCTTCAGCAATACACCAGTTCAGTGTTAGCGAGCTACCTACCAGGTTTGCCTTTTATTGGGAATCTGGTTGTTCAGGATTAAATGTGAACAAACTGCAAAGTAAACTTTGCAACCTTTTAAGGCTGAAGACTAACAACCTGTAAATGCACAACCTGCCCACATTCTCAGCCTTGCTGTTCAGAGCAATCCCACGTTTGATCTGTTATTGTGCTGAGCCTGGAGGGAATGGGCATGGAGAGCTTCAGTTCCCTCTGGGTCTAAATCCCGCCAGGGAAGATTGTAGAATTATATTCAATAAAGAATCTGGAATGAAGTCGAATGACGACCGCGACTCCATTGTCAATTGTCAGGTAAAACCCATCTGCTTCACTAATGTCCTTTAGGGAAGAAAACTGCCATCCTTACCTGGTCTGGCCTACATGTGACTCCAGACCCACAGCCATATGGTTGCTGCCCTCTGGGCAATTAGGGATGGGCAATAAATACTGGGTAGCCGGTAATGGCCACATCCCATGAGTGAATAAATAGCTTTACACCAATGATAAACTTCTCTAAGGTGAGAGGAGCAGCAACCAATTTGCGCACAGCAAGCTCCCACTAACCGATGTGATGAAAATGAGCAGCTCGTCCAGTGACGTTGGTCAATGGGCGAATATTGGCAAGGACACTGGGATCAACTCCTTCAGAAATAGTGTTAGTGGATCTTATCCCTCCACCTGACAGCAGACAGGACTCCAATTACATCTGAAAGATAGCCCTTCTGACAGTGCAGCTCTCCCTCAGCACACCACCAGAGTGTCTCCCCCATCCCTGAGCACAAACCCTGAGGATGTGGGGCTTGACTGCACATCCTCCTAAACCAGAGGCAAGTAGCGACAAATGCTCAGACCCTGCCTGAAGTAAAGTGTGAAGATAATATTGATTTGAATGGAATTACAGGATTGTTCTGATGCAGAAGAGGCCATTCAGCCCATTGTATCTGTATCTGTACTGGCTCGTTAAATAAGTATCATTACCTCATGCCAATCTCCAGCTTTCTCCCCACATCCCTGCACATCATTTTTATGTAAATTATCTTCCAGCTCTCTCTTGAATAGGATCTGCCTCCACCACAATTCCAGACCATAACTGCCTACTGTGTGAAATGGTTTTTCTCATTTCACACCTCCTTCTTTTGCACACCACTTCAAATGTACTCCATCTTATTCTTGATGCTTTTACAAGCAACATCGGCCTCTTCCTATCTGTTCTCTATGCAGCCGCTCATGCTTTTGAAAACCTTGATCAGATCTCCTCACAGCCACCTTCTGTCCAAGGAGAGCAGTCCCAGCTTCTTCAGTCAATCGTTATTGCTGAAATCTCTCATTCCTGGAGCCATCCGTGATAAATCGTCTCTCGCTCTCTCGCATTCTCGCTGTCTCTCTCGCGCTCTCTCTCTCTCTCTCTCTCTCTCCTGTAATGTGGCACCAAGAACTGTACACAGCAAGAGTCTCATACAAGTCAGCATCACCACCACGTCCTGGCAATCTTAAACCCCAAAACAAAAAATGCAGCTCGTGGAATTAACTCTGATCTCTGCAGATTAGAAAGCAGCTTAAGCAAATGGGAAGAGAAACTCGTTGTCATTGTAGAAAACAGAGAAGTAGTGACTTGGAAGAATTTCTTCCACAAAAAGACTCGAGCAGCAACAATATTGTGAATCTCCCTCCTTCCTTCATTTTGAGTTGCCACATTAGCTGAAGTTTGGTCGCTCCTGAATTTTACAAATTAAGATGGTGCTGCCTTGGGTCTGCCATCCTCCATCCATTTGTCATTGTTTTGGTGCCCTGGTGATTGACATATAGGGGTGTGGGGTGATTTGGCTATCACTGGCCTGGCCAGCATTTATTGCTCATCCTGAGTTGCTGGACAGGAAGAGGTGGCGAGCTGCTTTCTTTAGTCCATCACACAATAACTACATGTGGTAAAGTGGCAAAGGGGCCCAGAAACATAAATTACTTGATGCCAGTTAATGAGTCCATCTGAAAACACCAGCATAGTTCCTGGGGGTGGAGTGGTGTCTGAGGAGCCTGGGAGGGTAGTTGGGGGGTGGGTGCGTGTGTCTGGGATGCCCTGCCTGGGAGGGTAGTTGGTGGGTGGGGGTGCCTGCGTCTGGGATGCCCTGCCTGGGAGGGTAGTTGGGGGGTGGGGGTGCCTGCGTCTGGGATGCCCTGCCTGGGAGGGTAGTTGGGGGGTGGGGGTGCCTGCGTCTGGGATGCCCTGCCTGGGAGGGTAGTTGGTGGGGGGGGGCGGTGCCTGCGTCTGGGATGCCCTGCCTGAGAGGGTAATTGAGGCGGGATACCTCACCATCTTTTTTAAAAAGTACATGGATGAGACCATATGAACATAAGACATAGGAGCAGAATTTGGCCATTCAGCCCATTCAATCTGCTCTGCTGTTTGATCCTGGCTGATATGTTTCTCAACCCCATTCACCCACCTTCTCCCCATAGCCCTTCATCCTGTTACTAACCAAGGCCCTATCTATCTCTGTCTTAGATGTTCTCAATGACTTGGCCTCCACAGCCTTCTGTGGTAATGAGTTCCACAGAGTCACCACCCTCTGGCTGAAGAAATTCCTCCTCATCTCAGTTCTAAGGGTTGTCCCTTTATTCTGAGGCTGTGTCCTCAGGTCCCAGTCTCTCCTGCTAGTACAAACATTTTTTCCTTGTCCACTCTATCCAGGCCTCTCCGTATTCTGTAAGTTTCAATCAGTACCTCTTTCCCCCTGCCCCCAAACCCATTCTAAACTCCATTGAGTACTTTGCACGTCAAGCCCTTCATCCCTGGGATCATTCTTGTGAATCTCCTCACTTGAAATATCATAAGAGTTGAGGCTATGGGCCCAGAGCAGGAAATTGGGACTAGTGTAGCTTTGATGAAATAGACTTGACTCGAGGGCCTTTTTATTGAATGATTCTCTGACCATTTGTAGAGAGAGAACTTTAAATGGAAGGAGGAAAGTTATGATAAACCTGTACAGAACTCTGGTTAGATCTTATTTGGAAAATTCTGGTACCTATTTTTAAAGGGGATAAAAGAGGCACTGAAAAGATATAAAAAGATTTGTAAGGATGCTGCCTGAATAGAGAGGTTATAATCTGTCAGGGAAGACTGGGCGGCAAGGGCCTGCTGTTTTATAGAAAGACTAGCTTGAGAGGGGACTTGCAAGAAGCCTTTAATATAATGAAGGGACAAGATGGAAGGTTAGAGAGAATATTCCCCAATGTAAGGGTCTCCGAATCCAGTTATTAATAAATCCAGAGGGGAATTCAGCATAACTGTCTATCCCCAAAGAGCAAGGAAAATGTGCAGCCTCCAATCAAGTGTTAATTCGGGTAAAATGTGTAGAAGCTGGATGACACATGGGAAAGAGGAATAGACAATGCACCGACAGAGCTCAAACGACGATGGGGTGGGTTTGTGTGGAGGGGTCACCATGAGCCTGGGTTTGGACGGACTGTCGACGTGGGTTGTAATCTGAATGATCTCGATGTTTTCAGGTGAGGCTGTCTTTGCGAGGTGCCTATCCTCTCTGAAAGACGAACGGTTAACAGCTGCCAAACAACTGGCAGGACCTAAAGAACCGAAGTTCTCGGGGGACAAAAAGACATTCCTGGAGGATATACGCCAGGTGGGATTGCTGGAGGATTGTTTGAGAGCTCTGTTTTGTTTCTGCGGCGTATGTCGTGTTTAAGTAGCTGTTTTTGATCGGGAATGTTGATGTTAATGCTGGGCATGAGCTTGAAGCACGTTAATTTGCGTGCAGCTTCTGTAAGAATGCAGGTCTGTTTCTGGGGCAGTTACATAGACGCCTGCCCCATTTCTTTGGTAAGCGACTGACCCTTTTTGAGGGTTAAGCTGCTTCCTGTTTAAGGCAGGCTGCCCTCTGGTGAGGTACTGTTAAGGGTTTAATAAATGCCCTGAGCCTTGGACATGAGGAAGTGGAATCGGGCAGACATCCTGCTCCTGGTCACTGTGGTAACCTGCTGGACGGGGATGACCAGAGTTGCCAGGCTCTCGGCTCTGCTGTGAATCCCCACGTAGTGGAATAGCCTGCTGTTGCTCACAAATAACTGGGCAGTTTGGTCAGTGTAGCAGGAGATGACTGGTAGATGCAGAAAGATCGCCAAGATTCTAGAGAGGAGGGTGCACTGCAGGAGGAAATACAGGAAAAAAGAATAATTAACCAAATCTTTTAGCAGCTGGGCTGGCTTTAGCAAAAAAAAATGAGGCGGTTAATTTAAAGTATTTTAAGTCAACATGTTGAGAGATGCTATGACACACCTCTGGAGAAGGTGGAACTTGAACCTGGGCCTCCTGGTGCCATCGTGCCATAACAGCCCTCCCACAACTATTTCTTGGAATCCCTACAGTATGGGAACAGGCCCTTGGGCCCAACAAGTCCACACCAATCCTCAGAGCATCCCACTCACTTCCGTCCCCTGTAACCCACCTAATCTACATATCCCTGAACACTACGGGCAATTTCCCTTGGCCAATCCACCTAGCCTGCACATGTTTTGTACTGTGGGAAGAAACTGGAGCACCTGGAGGAAACCCACATGCTTAGTGCCTTTTTTTTTCTTGACCAATCAGAGTAGACTGATCTAGTTTGAATTTAAACAAAAGCTTCTCAGTTAATTGTACCAGAGATAGTAGGAACTGCAGATGCTGGAGAATCTGAGATAACAAGGTGCAGAGCTGGATGAACACAGCAGGCCAAACAGCATCAGAGGAGCAGGAAAGCTGACGTTTCGGGCCTAGACCCTTCTTCAGAAATTTCAG